AGCTCAGTCTCTCCTAAGGTTGCTGTCCAGCCGTTGTCCTGCTGCAGACATTTTGGGTTCTAGGGAAGAAGACTCTGCTCTGAGCATACTTCCATGTTGGCAGGTTCAGATCCTCATCGCCTGGGCCTCGCTCAACAACATGGTGTTGTGTTTCCCCCAGAAGGAGGGATGAGGGAGAGAAAGCAAGGTGGGAGTCACAGCATCTTTTAAACTTAATCTCAGACCCCTTAGACCATCAGTTCTCCATATGCTAACCATCATACAAACTAACCTTAGTACACTGTGAGTGGGAACTTGGAAAGGGTGTGAAGACCAGTAGGCAGAGATCCATGGGGGCCATCTGGAAGGCTAGCTCTCAAGGTGTCACACCCTGGGTCAGACTCATGCTCCCTGAGCATCGCTAGATACCTACAGGTGGCTGGAGCTGTTAGAGTGAAAACAGAGGAATTAGAGACAAACTAGAGAAGATTGGATCCCAGTGTGTAACTTGGACAATTCCTTACCATGAGATGAATAAGTAGTTAGGAAAGATGATAAAATGGATCCAACCCCCAGTTTTACACAGTACACTAAGCACCTTATTAGTGACCTTATATACTTAAATATCTGTTTATTGATCCATCAAACAGTATCTTCTAACTCCCTACCATAGAGATGAGAAATTTATACCTCCACCCATCTCATTACCTGCAAACATGCATGGATAGACTACTAATTCTATTAAGGTTTATAGCACTTTACCTTCTCTTTGGTAATCATCATTATTGATGTAACAGGATAATTGATAAATGTAGCTACTGGGGACATCCTCTGATGTTACTGATCTGTTTTTCCCAATAGGTGACAAAATCCATGAGAATATCGATGTGAAGTTTTCACATTAGGGTGCTTAGTGATGGGGAAGGTGAGGGAGAGAAGGGGTAGGCATTTGTGCATACACACATGTACACACACATCCAGACGCATACAAACACACGCCTACTCTTCCAAAAAGAGGGGGCCTTCCTCAGGGATGCCAGCCCCCACTTTGAGATCCCCACCCCTGGCATGAAGAAATTTCCATCTCTTTAGAAAGTTTTGTCTTCGCTTCACCAAGAGGAAAAAGCTATACTGTACATGCAGTATACGTGGAGAAGGTGGGTGAAGACCCTCTGTGTAGCCAATGGCCACCAGTTGTTGAGTCACTAAGGTTTCTGTCCCGCTCCTTGTGTGACTCTGTCCCTGCTCTGGAAGCTGTGACCTCAGGAACCATCGCCGCTCTGGCCCCCTCTCATGAACGCTGAAGTCATGAGTCTTAGTCATCTGTGTGGTCCCATAGACTGCTGCGAGAGTGATGAGTGAAGACCGCAAGGAACCCTGGGGCAGCTCTTGAAAGGCCCTGTGGGCCTTACAGAGGAATCTAAATTTTGTTCTCACAAGGCCTAACCGATTCTCCAGCCACTCATGCTTCCTTTCTCCTCTCCTGGCCTCTTTGAAATGAGCTAAATTCATTCCTACCCTGGGTGTTTGTACTTTCTTTCTGTCTCAGGATACCTCCTAGGTCTTAATATTGATGATGATTTTTTTTTTTTTTAAAGAAACATACATACAAAGTGTGCGTGTATGCTCAGTTGCTCAGTCACATCCGACTCTGCGACCCCATGGACTGTAGCCCACCAGGCTCCTCTGTCCATGGGATTCTCCAGACAAGAGTGGGTTGCCATGCCCTCCTCCAGGGGATCTTCCCAACCCAGGGATTGAACCTCTCCTGTGTTGCAGGTAGATTCTCTACTGCTGAGCCACTCAGCAGTAAAGCCTACAGGTACAAAGTACCCTTTATATTTTATTTCATTTTATTTAAAAATATTTATTTATTTATTTGGCTGTGCCAGGTGTTCATTGTGGCATGCAACTTCTACCTCTAACTAGTGAAATTTGTGCATCTTCTCCTATTATGGGCGTTACGGGATTCCTTTTTGGTTACCGATATGTTTAGTATTGCATGTTTATCTGTATCATGTTTCTATTTTTTTTAAATTAATTTGTAGGCAGCCTTGATATATTCTGGCCTCTCCTTGTGGCTCAACTGGTAAAAGAATCAGTCTGCAATGCAGGAGACCTGGGTTTGATCTCTGGGTTGGGAAGATCCCCTGGAGAAGGGAAAGGCTACCCACTCCAGTATTCTGGCCTGGAGAATCCCTACAGTCCATGTGGTCGCAGAGTCGGACACGACTGAGTGACTTCCATTTTCACTTTAGATATATCCTGGATATGGAATAAAAATTGACTCATGTTTTAGACTTGGACAAATGGGTGGATTATGTGCTAATTTAAATAGATGGGAAAAAAATAGATGGAGGAGAGTATAAAAGTGTTAGGAGGAACATTAAGAGTTCACTTTCAGACAAATTCGAGAAGCTTTTAAGCCATCTGAGAGAACAAGTCTGTGTTGCAGAGATACATTTGGGAGTTGTCAGGTTATTGGTGGTATGTAAACTGATAGTGATGCACGTGGTTATCTCCTGAGAATTTGGGGTGACATGACAAGAGCCCTACAAAATTACACATTTGGAGAAGGAGGATCCAGAAAGAGATACTGAGATGCTGCTGCTGCTAAGTCGCTTCAGTCGTCTCCGACTCTGTGCGACCCCATAGACAGAAGCCCACCAGGCTCCCCCGTCCCTGGGACGCTCCAGGCAAGAACACGAGTGGGTTGCCATTTCCTTCTCCAATGCATGAAAGTGAAAAGTGAAAGTGAAGGCGCTCAGTCGTGTCCGACTCTTAGCGATCCCGTGGACTGCAGCCCACCAGGGTCCTTCGTCCATGGGATTCTCCAGGCAAGAGTACTGGAGTGGGGTGCTCTTGCCTTCTCCAGATACTAAGATGAAGGACGAGTGAAACAGAGAACTAGAATTGTGTGATGTTGTGGAAGCCAAGAGAGGAACGTGTACCCCCCCACCCCCAATTTTTGCCTGTGTGTGGTTTCACTGCACGGTTGTACCTTAACTGCTCTTCTATTTGGAATTTGGATTTCAATGCTTTTCTAATATAAACTATACCTTGGTGGAGATATATATATATATATATATACACACACACATATACATATATATATCTATTTGGCTTTTTTTTCTTTTGGTGGACATTCTTTATCTTTTTTTCAGCACTCTATTTGCTTTGGTTTTACACCTATATATAGGTAGAAGTGTGTGCCTAATTAAAAGCTTTTAACTATAAATTTCCTGTCATTTTCTTGAAAGGTTGCCTTCATTATATTCCCACCAGAATGAGTTTGCTTTTTTTCCCTATTCTGGTGGTGGTTGAAAAAAGTGGTGAGAACCGGATAATGCATACCAACATTTTTAATGGTTGCAAAGTGTGCCACTGTATTGATGTTCATCATTTATCTAACCAATTATATTGTCCTGTTGCGGGTATCATAATTAGTGTTGCAATTAATACTTTTTAAGCTAAAACTTCTTGCTCAGTCTTAACCTGCTCCTTAGGATAAATTCCCAAAAGTGGAATTAATGAATCAGAAGTATTTGCATTTTTAAAGCTCTGCACATTTATTTATAGGTAAATCACCCTCCTGAAAGGCTATGCCTGGTCCATCAGCAGGGCATGGAAAGGCTAATCCCTAGTCCCTGGAAGTTATTTGAAGAACTACATCCTTAATTGCTTCCACCAGGGTGAATACACCAGTAGCCTATAAGGAAGTCTTGTTCAAATACTTTTTTTTTTTTTTAGTTTTTTCAAATAATAGTTTTATTCACTTTCAATTGCTACATAATATTTCATCAAATTCTTACAAACCATAACTTATTAACCATAGTCAAATACATTTTTTTAAAAGAGCAGATTAAAAAGAATTCATGTGGGATCTTATTTCCCTGACCAGGAATCAAACCCTCACCCTGACACATTGGAAGGGTGGAGTCTTAACCACTGGACCGCCAGGGAAGTCCCTCAAATGCAATTCTTAAACAATACCATTTTTGCACGCGGCACTGGGGTTGAGCACACAAATCTGAAAGGAATTTTTTTTTTTTGGCTGCGCCAGGCCCCTTGTGAAATCTTAGTCGCGACCAGGGGTTGAATTTAGGCCATGGCAGTGAAAGCACCAAGTCCTTAACCATTGGACCGCTAGGAAACTGCCTGATTGGCTTTTTATTCCAGCTATGTTATCTGATCTGCGGTCTAAGAATTAACTTCCAATAGCATGGCGCCGGCGACCAAGTCATCAGAAACATCGGAGAGCAAAGTGGAGTTTTGCAACCAGTGGCTTCAAACCACATTTGTTGATCCGGTGTGGCCATGGGATCACTTCGAAAAGGCTGTCTAGGTTTGAAATTACCTCAGTTGAAAGTTGTCTCAAAACCAGCGGAAAATTTATTAGGCTGATTCATTCTGGAATCTAGCTGGCATTTCCCGTTTTGCGGTGATCTAACGGTTCACCCAAACAGGTTCAGTTCTCGTTGAGACGAATCCTGTAGATGCCTCCGATTTTTCTAAAAAACAAAACAAAAACAAATGACAAAGTCACCGACGTGTCCGCAAAAAGTAAACATTTGGATCAGAGTCCCTGCAGACGCCGGATTCTTAGACTAGCACCGGAGTCCTGGCAGGAGATGGGAGAGCGCTGACTAGCTAGCTGGGTGTTCAGGTCTCGAGGGCAGTGGAGCCGGACCGCGGGGAGCGCAGGCCCGGGTCAACCCCGGCGTAGCAGGGGGGGATCCCGCCACCGCCACAGCCTTGCGAGAACCAGCCCACCTGGCGCCGGCACTAGGGATGCGCCGGCGCCGGACCAGCTAATCCTTCTCTCCACGGAAGCGGGGCAAGGCCCCGAGACGGGGCGTGGACTGAGACGGCGTCGCCCGGGGCGGGGGCGAGGCAGGTCTTCCGCCTTCCGAGGGGCTACTTCCGGATCCGGTGGCGACCGCTGGAAAGGCCGAGTGCGACCGCGGCAAGCTGGCTGGCGGGAGGGCTGGCTGACAGGCGTTCCGCGCGCGCGCCCGGCGATGCTGGGGGGCGTCTCTGGGGCCGCAGAGCGCGAGGCGGAGGGCGACGCGGCGGGGGCTGTGCCCGCGCCGCCCGCCATCGACTTCCCCGCCGAGGGCTCGGACCCCAAGTATGATGGTGAGGAACACAGAATGCGGCGGCCTTCCCCGCCCCCGTCCACCTTCTTTCTCGGGGCCGGCAGGTGGCTGCGAGGTTCAGCCCAGGACCTGGACAAGTTGGGCTGGATCCGGGCTTGAACAGGGCCCAGCGGTGCAGTGTCGGGGGCGGGGGGGCGGGCGGGCAGTTTGGATTAGGAGAGCTCGTATTGAGATAGTTGTCTACAACCCGTTCGATCGTTTCCCTTTCTGCTCCGCTGTTTTCCTCTGCGGCCTCGGGGCTGCCGACGCGCCAGGCTGTTTTCCAGCTCCTGAGCCCCGCGGCTCAGGTGATGGGCTTGAGCCTTGCACACTAGTCGAGTGCAACTTGGCAGACCCGGTGCGCTGAGCAGGTTGGGTTGAGTTTTCATTGGTGTCTTCTCTTTGTCTTCTGCTTTACTTTCGCGTAGCTGGAGTTCTCAGTGAAACAGTAAGGACATCATCCTCTTCTGTTAAGGAAGAAACCGAAGTTTTCTGGAAGCTTTTGGTTACTAGGAGATAGGGGCGTAAGTTCGTCAAGTGGTTCACAAAGCGAGGGGTGCTTATAACATTGAGTCTAACCAGTTCAAAATATCTAATATGTTAATGAAAGTGCAGTAGGCTCTTCAGTGGTAACCAGTTGTTTTGGCAGTTTTTTTCTTTGTTCTTGAACATTGGGGTGATACCAGGAACTTTTCCAGAATTGCAGGTGTCAGAAAGGAGGGTGGTTTTGTGTGGACTGTTTACGTTGTAACATTTGTAATTGCCTGAGCCCTTGCAGACATCAACAGAAGGATTTGTAGTGATCATGACAGCGGTATAATTTTGAGCAGAACTAAGATTAAATAGGGGCCCAAATGCACCGTATGATAGGTAGTATTTGTTTGCTCTACTTAGATATTGGATAACTATAAAAATAGTTAAATACTTTAAAAGTTTAAGTTCCTCAGTAAATATATTGATGGTGATAGTATAGGTATCGCTATTCTGTAATCCAGTAGCAAAAAATATCCCAAATGCTCAGACTGTATATTTTTTAGTGAACACTTTGAAAAAAATTGAAGTATAGTTAATTTACAGTGTGTTAATTTCCAGTGTACAGCAAAGTGGCTCAGCCATACACACACACACACACACACGCGCATATGTATATTCTTTTCCATTATAGGTTGTTACAAGATATTGAGTATAATTTCTCATGCTGTAAAGTAGGTCCTTGTTTATATATAGTAGGGTTTATGGCCATTTAAAAAATTGTGCCATAAATGAATGCATCATTGATTCAGGAAGGTTTTTACTTTGTGGTAGTTCAAATAGAGTGATTATAGAGAATATACATTAAGTTGAAGCCTGAAACAAATAATAACATGTTGCAGAGGATTTAAAGGTGCAAGCTGAGTTGAAAAGGTCTTAATTTATTTCATAAATTCTTCAATTTTCACCCTTATTACTACCTACCATTCTTGACAAGGAGAAACAAAGGAGACTGTGATAGTGATTTAGGTAGGCTCTTAGCATAGGACTGTTGTAAGATAACTATTATTTAAAGAAAAAACTGATTTTTGCCCACATGTATCCTATTCTAAGAGCTCGGTAATCCATAAAGCGTTATGTCAAAGCCCCTGCTGTAAACAGGCACGTCTGCCCTGTAACAGTGTGATAAGGTTTCCTGCACACTGAAGATTATTCTTGAAGGGAGTGATCTTCGATAAGCCTCTAAAAACTTCCTTCTCCTCTGGTTACTCATGACGCTGCTGTATTTACGTATTGCTGTTTCTTTGACAGAGAAGAAAAGAGAAGCCCAGAATGTCCAGACATACACTGTCTTTTCATATGAAAGGTTAGATCCGTGAGAAACCCTAGTCTCATTTCTTGATGTAAAAATAGAATCGGTAGATGACTTCTCAGCGAGTGTCTGTGTTGATGTGAGGAGGTTACCATGCCCAGCAGGGGCAGCGTTAGAAAAGTCACAGTCTGTGTGTAGCCGACACCTGTGTCCTTTACAGCTCATCTAGTAGGGATTCTCCAACCAGCATCATCAGTCTTTGATCAAAGTTTTTGCATGTTTTTTCCCCGCCGCAGTGGAAAAGCTCGCATTAGAAGGAGGGCCAACAGTAAGCCTATTGTCAGGCTCATTAATTTTTCTTCCCTCATCTGACACAGGTATTTCTGAATTTTTACCTCTGATTAATCCTTCACGTTCTTTAATTTGGATCATACTTTCCTCAGGAGGTTGAATCAGATGATTCCTTTCCTGTTTGTCTTACTCCCCTCTTACTTGGCAGAATTCGGAACTCTAATTCACAATGGGCCTGGATCTTATTTCTTACTCTTTTATGGGAGAACTTGACCTCATCTTTCCTTTCAGCCCCTTACCTCTTCCTTTTCTCTGGACCATAACTGTGAAGTGAGAGACTTTCAGCCTTCACCTTCATTTCCTGTCAGTTTTACTCCTTGTGTTTGCATGTCTGTCCATCATCATTTTTTTTTTTTTTAATTTTTTACCATCTTCTTTTTAAAGTTGTTACTTTCTTATTAGGTTCAGTTGACTCTGCTGAGCAACCATTTTTTTTTTTAATTAAAAAGTAGAATTTTCTTATCATAGAGGATAGGGCTAAGGGTATATAGAAGCAGAAAACACTCCTAAAAAAAAAAAAATCTCACAACTGTTGGCAATTCAGTACTTAAAAAATTTTTTTGCACATTATAGAATATGTTGAAAAGGTAGAGAAGTCTGAAGAAGAAACTAAAAAAGCCATGATCTCATCCCCAGAGGTTACTGTTTGTAATTTCCATTTACAAGCAGTACGTTTTGGTTTAGCTAGGGACAACTTTTTGGGTGAATTTTGCATTTAAAATATTTGTCAAAGAAAGGTATTCTGAATAGATTAAAGATTTCTATCAGAGTATGATAGAAACATTGTCTGAATAGGATAAAAATTTAGAGAAAGCATTGGAAAATTTAAAGGCATAAAGGAAAAAGAGGGGAAGGTTCCCTTTACTCCCGTCTCTGAGGAGACCTCACTGCTAAAAACTTGGTGTTTTTATTTTATTCAGTATTTCCTGAAAGGTGCTATATACCAGGTAGATGCCTAGATACTAGTGGTCAAACAGGCAGACTATAAAACTGCTGCTCACTGTAATTTCACTGTGTAGTTTCTGTCGATGTGTCATTGAAAACACAGGGGGGCAGAGATTTTTGGCTGTTTTGATCTTTCTATTCTTTTTGTGTATATAGATCAATATAGCTATAAAATAAATATATTTTAAAATTGTGATCATAGTAGTCTGATAAGCAGGTTGCTTTTTAAATGTGCACTTATATTATCATTTTCTTGTGATAAATTAGCCTTTAAGAATGTTATTTTAAGATGATCACATTCTGTACTATCATTTAATCTTTGCTGTTGTTGGAAAACAAGATTGTCTTTTTTTTTTTTTTAACCATTAGATATAATACAGGGTTTGACCTCTACTTGATATCTGTATTCATAAATCTTTGTTAATACATGATTATTTCTTTAGAATAGATCCGTGGAAGTGGGGTTTGTTTGGTCAAAGAAAACATTTTTTTAAAAGTTTTGATGTGTTTTGCTAAAATGGTGACCAGAAAGGTTGTGTTGGTTTGTATGAAACTGTCTTGCCTCACCTTCATTAGCGTTACTAATTTATGTAGCTAATAAATTAGTTACTAATTTATGTCCTTCTTTTTGTTTTTTAAAATTTTTGCTTGAGTATAGTTGATTTACCAGGTTGTTTTAGTTTCAGGTGTACCACAAACGGATTCAGTGATACATGTACAGATACTCATTCTTTTCAGACTCTTTCCCCACGTAGATTATTGGAGAATATTGAGTCGAGCGCCCTGTGCTGCACCGTGGGTCCTCGTTGCTCGGCCTGTTTCTTTGACTTGCTACATTGTTATTTATGGTTATCTTTCTGTATAGGGTCATTTATTGATACAACAGCTACATAGTATTCTATGTATATAACTTAACAAATTTTCAGTACTTTAAGGTGTTGCCCAGATCACCTTGGACATATGTATTTGCTGTGCTTTCTTTATTTCTTTGGTTTATCTTTCCAAAAGTAGAATTGCTGGGTTATGGTTTGCACATTTGAAATTCTACAGTGTACTGCCAAAGGTTGTAGACACTTACCCCCTTGGGTTTGAAGGTGTCTATAGTTTTCTGTGCTCTTAACCATACCAAGGATTCCAGACTTTAATTACCAATCTGTGGTTGCGAAGGGGAAGGGTTTGTGGGAGGAATGAAGTGGTAGGTTTGGGTTAGCAGAGAAGCTTTTACATATAGAATGAATAAACAAAGTCCTTCTGTATCACACAGAAGAACTGTATTCAATATTCTGTAATAAACCATAATGAAAAAGAATGTTAAAAAATATATATGTGTATATATAACTAAATCACTTTGCTGTGTAGCAGTGATGAATCCAACATTGTAAATCAACTATACTTCAATGACAATAAATGTTTAAAAAGTTGTCAATCTGATGGCACTGTTTCCAAACTCTGGTACTGTGGTTATTTTACTGTTTATGTGTTACACATCATCTAAGGTCCTCCGTTTCATAATATGTATGTACTACTTACTAGCTATGTTAAGCCTTTTTGAATTTTTACTGTGCTTCATTTTCTTACTAGCATGTAAGCGCTCTGTATAAATATTGTCGCCTTTTCTTTCTTGACACATACAGTACAGATTACTGTGTCTGATTTTGGGTTCATGTTTTAACTTGAAGATACCTTTGTCTAGAGATGTTTTTACATGGCACATTTTCCATTCTTTTTCTTTCTCATACTCAGATGATAATTATTCATTTAAAATGAATAGCACATCACCATTCATGCAGGTCTTTTTTGAGCCCACCTACAGGTCAGAGAGGAAATTGGTGAATGAACTCTCAATTTGAAAAACCTCAGCTCTTCCAGGACCTTCAGTGGTTTATAGAGAAGCTTGGAGCAGAGTGTGGAACGGGAACGATTTTGTTAATAGAAGGTGTAGGGTACAATGGGCCCTTTTCTGCAGAGTATTTCCAGCTGATTGGGTCAGTAGCTTTTGAGAGTTTGAAGTGCCTCATCTTTCCTCCAGCAGCTCCTCTCACCAGGTTTCACTCTCATTAACCTCTCCTTCCCATTCCTAGTATTTGAATCCTGGCTAGTCCATTTCTTTCTTATTATCTCTGGGACTTGTTCTCTCCTCCACGTTTCTTCGCTTAATTCCTCTACTAGGCTCATCCTGACTTGGTGTTGACGTTTGCCTGTCTCCTTCCAGGCTCCCCGTCACGTGTCCGGAACAGTTTCCTCAGTGTTTCCTGCATTGTGTTTTTGACCTATTAAGTGATGTGTTTAATAAACGGTGCATGAGAACTTAGGACTTTCTGCTCTAAGTGCCAACTCAGCTGCCGGCTTGATCTTGTTTCGTAGAAGGAGGATAGGCTTGGGAGTCTGTCTGAGATGCCTGCTTACTTGTCCCTCCGCCTCTCAATGCAGCGTCTGCATCTGTAAGATGGGAATGGTCACATGGGGTTTGTCCTCACATGAGGACTCACACGAGGACTAAATGAGACCTTGCATGTAAAACACGTGGTCCAGACGTACGTAGCACACTCAGCACAAAGGCTCCGTCCTTCCTCCTTCTCCTTTTCTTCACGGCCAGACTTCTGGTACCTCTGGTCGGAAGGAAGCCTGTTCCTGCTTGTTTGCTTGCTGAAATATTTATTTCCCATTTATTCATTTCTACCTTTGCACACATCATCACTTACCAAAACTTCCTCCTTGCCTGCAGTGGCATCTTTCTGCTAGTGCTTCCAGACTTGCCGATTTCAACTCAAAGCTCAATTCCAGATACTCTGTCTCGATTAACTCCAGTCATCTAATGTTTTGCTTTTTATTTCCTTAAATTTAAGTAGAGTCTTTTACTAATTAACATATGCTTTTTCTTTCATTGTGAGACATGCTTGTTGTTGTTCAGTCGGTAAGTTGTGTCCGACTTTGTGTGATCCCATGGACTGCAGCATGCCAGGATTCCCTGTCCTTCGCTGTCTCCTGGAGTTTGTTCAAACTCATGTCCATCGAGTCAGTGATGCCATCCAACTGTCTCATTCTCTGTCGCCCCCTTCTCCTCCTGCCCTCAGTATTTCCCAACTTCAGGATCTTTTCCAATGAGTTAGCATTGGATGGTCTTCCCAACAGGTGGGCAGAGTATTGGAACTTCAACTTCAGCATCAGTCCTTGCAATGAACATTCAGGGTTGATTTCCTTTTGGATTGACTGGTTTACCATTTCTTAAATTTTTTTTTCCTGTTTTCACTTGCAGAATCTGATGTTCCCGCAGAACTCCAGGTGCTGAAAGGACCCCTGCAGCAGCCCACCTTCCCTTTTGCAGTTGCCAACCAACTGTTGCTGGTTTCTCTGCTGGAGCACCTGAGCCATGTGCACGAGCCAAACCCACTTCGTTCCAGACAGGTGTTTAAATGTTAGTAAGAATGAATTAACTTTGCTAAATAAAACTTGTACAGATTCTATGTTGTTTAATGCCATGGGTCTGAGAGGCAGCCTGTGTCTAAAAATTTGAAATAAACCTTGATAATACATCTTTTAAATTTATTTTGTATTTTCCTTTGGGTAATTCCTTATGAATGTCGTCGCTGGGAACCCCAAAAAAGATTAATCACCATAAAATTGTGTGTATCTGAATAAATAAAAGGTACGTCTTTTTGATTTACAATGTGATAATTCACATAGTTTTTGAAGATCTGTTATGGTTTAGTTGGTGAGCAGATACATGAAAATCCCAGGTACTGATTCTGAACCTGTTCTTGACCAAAACCCTGAAATAGTTGTGACCAGTTGTGTTGACCCTCCAGCTGGGTGTCTTACAGTTCACTCCTGGCACTGTTTCCCTGAAGTTCGAGTCAGCTCCCGCAGTTGAAAGGCTTAGTCCACAAGATTGTCCTCATTTCAGTTGCCAGTTGGAAGCAGGAGGTCCCTGGGTTACCCATGCTTGTGGCTGACTTGGTTCCAAATTGGGGGTTCCTGTTGCCCCGCAGATTTGAGAATTTGCTGTGACAGCTCACAGCGCTCAGGGAGACATTTTATTGCTGGCCTTTCTAATGATTGTTTTCCATGTTCTTCTTACAGTGCTTTGTCAGACCTTTATCAAAATGGGGCTACTGTCGTCCTTCACCTGCAGCGATGAGTTTAGCTCGTTGCGGCTACATCACAACAGAGCTATTACGCATTTGATGAGGTCAGCTAAGGAGAGAGTTCGCCAGGTAAGCACTGGGAAATAAATGTACTCGGTGTGTGACAAAAAACATCCTAATTTTAAGAGAATTATATTTTAAAGCATTATGAAGATCTGATTATAACGTGTTTTTTTAATATATATGTAACAGGTTTAATATTAACTTTGTTTATTCAACAGATATTTATCGAATGTGTTAGGCTATCTTGTAAGGAGCTGGGGTTCAGATAGTGAACAAAATAAATTCCCTGCCCTCAGGGAGCTTATGTTCTGATGAGGAGGCGGTAAACAATAGAAAAAGAGAAACACACGTGGTGTTAGTTGGTGGTGTTAAGAAGAAACATAAAGGAGTAGAGGGCTTAGAAAATGTTAGGAGGCGCTGTGTGAACTCTACGTAGCGTATTGGAGTGGGCCTTGCTGAGATGAGAGGCAGGAGCTGAAGTTGAGGATTGAGCCATGCAGAGGGGTCTCAGCCTGGTCTTTGGGTGTCAAGAATATAGTTTATTCATCAGTGATCTTTCAGGGAGAAATCTCTTTAATTGCAGACTCTTAAGTGATATCGAAAAAGCCATTGGATGGGTGGGTATATTTTTTTAAATGTTAATTTGAGCATTAGGGAGTAGTAATACAACATTGAATTTTGGTAGATTCCTTATTCCATGAAATTTTCAAAATGTTTTTTAAAAAATAATTTTTTGATTTTAGGGTCCTTGTGAGGATAATTCTCATATCCAGAAGATCAGGTTTGTGTTGAATACTTTTATGACTATGTAAGAGGTAAACTGATCCAAAAGAAATCAGTATTGAGAAGTAATCCTGAATTAATCAGAAATTAGTATTGGGATTAAAAATAATGTAGTTAAGGTAGTTCATGAAAGTTAAAAGCTTTGTAAGATTTTTCATTCTGTCTTTGACCCCCTCCCCCAATTCCTTCTGTAAGCCTCGCCCTTAATTCAGAGCACTGACATCCAGTCCCTGTCAGGGGAACACCACTGAATTTCAACTTCATGTAGGAAATGCTAGTTTAAAACCTGTAATTGAAAAAAAAAAAAAAAAAACCTGTAATTGTTCTGAATCATTAGGAAATTTAAGTAAATTTGTTGCTGAACTCAACTAGTCAGCTGCTGCCTATTAGTCATCTTTAGAATTCCTGTTTTAAAACAATAACAATTTCTAATTGGAATACTAATTGCTGGTAAAATACTTAAAATTATGTTAACGATCCCCTTGCTATCTGTTATGCTATTGATTTGCTTATTAGCAGATGCTTTCTTCATAGAGAATGAAGAATTTCATTTTAGCTCATCCTTTCCAAATCATTCCAGCTTAGTGATAAACGAGGTTTCCCAGGACAGTAATACAGTGAGCATGACCTATCTTAGAATGTTGTGGTTCTCTCATGTTTTGGCATTGATTGATTGGTTATGTTTAATTTTCAGAGCAAGGGAAGTAGCCTTTGAAGCACAGACCTCACGTTACTTAAATGAATTTGAAGAGCTAGCCGTCTTAGGAAAAGGTGGATATGGAAGAGTATACAAGGTGGTTTTCCACACATTTGTTCTGACTTCCTACTCTAAACAACGTATTGTATTTGAAGATGTTTTCATTGTCATTTAAAGTGCTCAAAGGAAATTTCCAGAAATCGTGTGTTTTCTTTTATTAAGATTTGTCATTGTTAAGGACGTGGGCAGGTTTTAAGTTTTTCCTAACCATGTTGGTTATTTAGGGGGAGTCCGGAACCCTTCTGAGTTTTGTTCTATGGTTAATTTTTATTTAAAAATGTATTACTTGAAACAGTTATTTATGCTACTGTGTTTTTCATAGAGCTTTTTTGTAAACATTCCCATTCTTCAAACATAGAGCTTCTAGGAGTTGGACTCTCCGCCCAACTCTCAGAACCACAACATTCTCAGTTGAAAAAACTTTTAGTCTGGCTGACTATGGTTGACTTCCCTAAATGTAGTTCAGAGGACTCACGTTTGTAGTGTAATTTTATCTCTTTGACTAGTTTGGATTATCTAAGGTCAAGTTGAAAAGAACTGTCTTTATTCAGTTGGAATTTAATGGTATAGTTTACTTTGTCTTTTCATCTGCTTTTTAGGTCAGGAATAAATTAGATGGTCAGTACTATGCAATTAAAAAAATCCTGATTAAGGGTGCAACTAAAACAGATTGCATGAAGGTATGATTTAAAACATTTACTTATTTTGAATAATTGAGTATTTAGGTCCTTTTGAAAGAGTTTGTGTGTGTGTGTGTGTATTTGGCAAATAGTAGGTTGTATGGATTAACAATTTACTAAGAATGCGTTACAGTAAAATAAACATCAAGACTTAATTTTTTTTATAGGCACTTCAGATTGACCACATTTCTGGGTCATTGCTGGGGAAGTTAATTTTTTAAGTAAACTATTTATATATAATATGTAACAGGTTTGTTAGGAAAAACACAGATGCTCAATTCAGGTCCAGCTCCTCCCTGACATGTTGGGTGGTCCTGAGCAAATGACCTAGTCCTCTAAGCCACTTCTGTCTCTTGCCCTTGAAATAGTGGTGACAAGTATGGTTTATTTACCTTGGAGGGCTGGACTTAACTTGTAGGAATGAAGTGAGAGAATGATTATGTATGAACCATGAGAAGTGTAAAGTACCATATGCATGTAAGGTTTTTAGTTGCTAAACAACTGCATTTTTCTCCCACAAAAGTATTCCCATTTTAAGATCGTTTAGATTCCTCGAACAGAGGGAACAAGTCATATTTGACCCCATAAACATGTAACAGATTTGTCAGTAGAAGTCAGCTCTGAGTATGTATCTTCTCCAGGTCCTGCGGGAGGTTAAGGTGCTGGCCGGTCTTCAGCATCCTAATATCGTTGGCTATCACACGGCCTGGATAGAACACGTTCACGTGGTCCACAGGCAAGGTGAGCAGCTTTAGAAGACACAGTTGAAGGGCTGGTGAATTTTGGCCTACGGGCCTGCCTCTCTTGCACATCCCACAAGCTGATATATTTTTTTTTTAAAGAGTTAGAAGGAATCAAAGGAAGAATATTTTGTAAGGATTATGTGAAATTCAAATTTCATTGCCAATAAGAAAAGTGTGTGAGAACCCAGCCTCACAGGAGTGCATCCTCCCCCGCTGCTTTGGCACTCCACAGCAGAGTGGCATGGGGCAGCGGAGCCCCCTGGGGCCCACAGAGCCTGAAATGTTTACTGTGGGTCCTGCCCCGTTAGTTCACTGGGCCCTTGTATAGGTGAACAGCTCTGTGTTTATCTGTCCTAAAACCCTCCAGTCGTTTGACTAAGCTCCATGTATTTGCATTTTACCAGAAGGTCTTGACGTTTTTATCTTGTAATCTCATTTGGTATTAGTCACATATCTTAGCACTGCCTTTGACTATAAATCAGAAAACTGAGCAGCTTTGAAGACTCTTTTTTTCTCTTCAGCAGATAGACTTTCTCTCCAGTTGCCATCCCTGGAAGTGATCTCCGACCAGAAAGACCCCAGGTACGCGTGGGCTGCTGCGTCTTTTCATGCAGTAGACGTTAACGTCCTGTCACCTCCATGGGTTGCCTTTTGCAACCAAGGAGCTCAGGAGTGTTTTAGACTTTCTTCTTCTTTTTTTTTCTTCTTCTTCTTATTTTTATTACAAAATGTTAAACTGTCTTCTTTCTCCTCTCAAGTGTTTCCTGTCAGTATTTTTAAGTAATTACTACTGCTAGACAGATTGGCTCTCTTTTTTTGTTAGTTTACCAGTAACATATACATACAGCCTGGAAGGAACAGTTGAGGTAGTACTCTTGACCTTTTTTTACATTGATTTTTATCTTTACTTTTTTTTCCCCCTGCAGTGCTCATTATGAGGTTAAAAGTGATGGAAGTAACAGCTCATCCATTATTTTTGCCGAATTCACCTCAGAAGAAGAAAAATCCTTAGGAGAATCTGGTGTTGAAGACAATCAGAATAATGGATTGGTGAACTACAGCTCCAGTGTAGTCGCCAGAGATGCTGGTGACTTCGAATCCTCACTTGAGCTCCGTGAAAGTGATGTGGCTGATGGGTCTTCTAGACCCATTGTTGGGCGTCGGCTGCCGCTTCGGCATAACTCTGAACCGGAGGAGAACTTCGCATCCACTGGGGAATCTTCTGAAGAAAACCTCAACATGTTGGGGCAGACAGAGGTAGGTACCTTTCCCAGGACCTGCCGATCTGCTGTTTCCCGGTGGTGATGGCGTGGAGCCCTGCGGTCAGACCCGGCCGCCCCCTTCCTAGGCTGGCTCCCTCCTTGGCTTCTCCTCCGCATCTCTCCCGTAGCCCTCCTGCACGCGCGGTCTGTGTCATTCCTCGTGTCCCCCTCTCCCGCGGCCCTGGTGTTTGGCCTCCCCTCCCTCCCCCAGTTAACACGCGCCCTTTCCTGACCTCCTTGCCCGGCCCGTTCCTTCTCTAGATGTTTCATATATATACCTCGGGGTGGAAAGTATCACGCACACTGTTTTTGTGGTATGTTAGCTTCCTACTCTCAAAATATATTTATGGAGAAAGATTTTCTGTCTTTTGGAATCTGACTTTAGAAGACTGTCCTACAGGGTCTTATTACACTAGTTAGGATTCCACTGATAATGCTTGTGAGACCCCCACGTGCTCTCACCTTCACTGAGTAACATTAACAGGGTATACCTATAATCTGTCGTGTTGGGATCATAAAACTTTAGACACTATCCGTATATTCACGTAGAATTAATTCTGGCTGTCCAGGAACACGAGGCTCTGTGCATATGTTTTTGACGAAGCACAAAATTTGGAGTAGGTCCCCCTGAATTTTAAAGGAGTTGAGTGTGAGGGACTTTTCATCAGAAATCCTTTCATTGCTCTGTAATACATTTGAAAGTCTTTCTGAATGGGCTGCAGTGAGCTTAATTATTGCTTACTTTTTTCTTAGACAAATGGTTAATTTCCGTTCCACCGAAGTCAGACAAAGCAGATGTACACTCTGGGGTATCCATAGAGTGGTGGAATACCATACAGTCAGTCCGATACTCTATCTTAGCTTTAAAAACTGTATCTTGAGAGCAGACTAAACAGCTTTGGGCCCACAGCCTCTGTTACATTTGAGAGCTTCTTCCGTTTGTCACCTACCTAAGCCCAGCCGGGCCTACCCTCCGCCACTCAGTGATGACATCCTGTCTTCGGTATTGCTTTATTCCTCCCACCTCCTTCACTCGGCTTCTTGGGTAGTCCTGTCTGTCCGAACGCTCTGCCCACAGCCCATAGCCCAGTGCTTGGCCCAGAGCAGGCGGGGGAGCCTTTGTGTGAGCGCATCTGCAGATGGGCGCCTGCTCCGTGTCGCCCCCTAGGTGCAGTACCGCCTGATGCTGCACATCCAGATGCAGCTCTGCGAGCTCTCGCTGTGGGACTGGATCGCGGAGAGAGACGGGCGGGGCCGGCAGAGTGCGGAGGAGTCCGCCTGTGAGTACCGCGGCGTGTCCCAGGGCCTGGCCAGGAGTGACAGGCAGGCAGATCGTCTGCTCCGGATGCTTGAGATTGGGGGGAAAAAGAAAATCACAGTTTTAAAAGCAAGTAGATTGTTTGGAAGTCACTGAGATGGTAAAGAATCTGCCTGCAATGTGGGAGACCTGGGTTCGATCCCTGGGTCAGGAGGATCCCCTGGAGAAGGAAATGGCAAGCCACTCCAGTTTTCTCGCCTGGGGAATTCCATTGACAGATTAGCCTGGCGGCCGTAGTCCACAAGGTTCCCAGGAGTTGGACACGATGGAGGGAGGAACATTCACTGTCGTAGACACACAGTTTGCTAATACTTAAGAGTGATACGGTGGCTCAGATGGTAAAGGACCCGCTTACAGTGCGGGAGCCCTGGGTTTGATCCCTGAGTTGGGTGGATCCCCTGGAGAAGGGCATGGCAAACCACTTCAGTATTCTCGCCTGGACAGTCCCCATTAGCAGAGGAGCCTGGTGGGCTATAGTCCATGGGGTCACAGAGAGTCGGACACGACTGAGTGACTAAGCACACAGCACAGGAGTAATATGCTAGAATTTAGGTTAGGGATTTTAGGTGGAAAAGGTCTTTAAAATGTTTTTAAGGGAAAAAATTTAAATATTTTATTTTAGCTTTTTAGACTGAAAATGTGACACTTTTACAAGAAACCTTGAAAGAAACCCTTACAGAAGGGTATGTAGTCAGAAGTTTGTCTCCCTCAAGATCCAGAGAACCCCCCCCCTCCCGCCCCTGCAGTTCTAGCATATCCTCTAGAAATAACTCCGTTAGGTTAATGTTTGTAAAATATTACCACACTGGTTCTCAACTTAGGCTGCACATTGAAATGACCTGGGGAACTTTTCAAAAACATGTCGATAAAAAAGAATAACTCTGCAGTGGGAGAAACCTGACAGACACCCCCTAAGCTTGCAGCCAAGGTCAACGTCAGCACTGATAACTCATGTTGCTACTATGTGCCCTTGAGAAGAGCTGAGGAGAAGGGCAGTGTATCTCTGTGGTCTTCCTCCCCAGAGCCCATAACCCCAGTCTAATCACGAGATAAACACAGACACGTCCCAGTTGAAGGACATTCTACAAAACACCTGACCAGTACTTCTCAAAACTGTCAAGGTCATCATAAACAGGAAAAGTCTGAGACCAGAGGACCCTCGAGAGGCATGACAACTAATTGTAATGTGGTGTCCTGGATGGAGTCCTGGAACAGAAAAAGGACACTAGGTAAAAACTAGGGAAGTCTGAATAACCCATGGACTCTTAGCAGGATCAATGCACTAACTGTCAAATGTACCGGACTGATGTAGGGGTTGACAACAGGGAAGCTGGGTGTGGGGTAAGTGGGCACTGTCTCCTCAGTTTGTCTGTCCATCTAAGACTGTTTTTTTCTTAAAAATGAAATCCTTTTTAAAAAGGATGTTGTCTGAACCCACAGCAATAACTTTTATATAATTGGTCTTGGTTAGGGCTTGGCCTTTGGTCTATTTTGTGAATGTTCTCTTGTTGATCCTAACGTGTGGCCAAAGTTGAAATTCACTATTATAATAGATTATCAAAATAAGGGATGTGAACAACTTGATTTTAGGCAAAAGACTCAACTAAGTATAGTTAGTCATTTGCTGTTCACTCCTAATGACACTGGGACCCTTTATTTGGACTAAAACACGGGTTAGTTGGCCTACTCAGAATCTTAAGACTAGCTTCCAGCAGAGAGGAACATGTAACGTCTCTCTCCAGCAGCGCCTCAGTGTCCCTCTGTCGCCCAGGAACCCAGAACGTGCCAGACTTGGCTCAGCTCAGTCGTGGTCGGCGGTGCCTGGGGCATCCTGAGGGCCCCGCCGCTGTGCGTGCCCTTGTCCTGCTGCGTGTCCATTGCGGTGCTGTGCGCGCGTCTTTGTGGGAGGAGCTGGCTCGCCCCAGCCCTGCGAGCAGTGGACGCCGCAGCTTCCGCCTGGGGAGTGAGCCCTCAAGGAAGCGCTGAAAATCTGTACGGCGTCACTGTGTCACGCGTTAGTGTGTTTGTAACTGCGCTCCTTACGTTCTGATGTTAATGAGTGAAGGACTGTTAGAAAAGTGAAACTTTTTTCTTTTTTTTTAACTTCAAGGTCCTTATGTTATGGCCAGTGTTGCAACAAAAATTTTTCAGGAATTGGTGGAAGGTGTATTTTACATACATAACATGGGAATTGTACACAGAGATCTGAAGGTAAGTGTGGGAGATTCAATCATTGACAGTTGCTTACTGGGATGCCTTGGGTATCAGTTCATTGAGTTAAATGAGACTGTGTACCTTTGTTCATTTACCTCGGAGGTTATCATTACATTTATATCACATAAGTCCTCATTCCATAGGTCTAGAACATAAAAACTTGAAGTAAAATTTAAAAGGAATAATCTTTGGGCCTTTGAAAAGTCTAGCTTATTTCAGGTGTTAATACTGAGGGTGCTCTAAGTACTAATATAACTCATTTTGCTAAAGATATTTCATGCTGACAAAAATACTCATTTTTTTTTCCGCCTTGGAGGTAAAATCTGGTTCTATAATTATTCCTCTTAAAGGAAATTTAACATGGGGATTTTTTTCTGCTGTTTTAAAAAACTGCAGTAACTATGCCAATTTTTTATAAAAGACTGTCAAAAGAGAAAACGGAATTCACTAGTGGTACAGTGGTTAGGACTCCATGCTTTCACTGCCAGGGGCAAGGGTCCAGTCCCTGGCTGGGGAACTGAGATCTCACAAGCTGCTTGGCGCGGTGAGAAAAAGAGGAAAAAATACCTACTGCTCTGGGTGCCTAGTTGCTCGGTCGTGGCTGACCCTTTTGCAGCCCTTTGGACTACACACAGCCCACCGGGCTCCTCCTCTGTCCCTGGGATTCCACAGGCAAGAATACCGGAGTGGTTGGCCATGTCCTCCACCAGGGGATCTTCCCGACCCAGGGTTCGAACCCCTGTCTCCTGTGTTTCCTGCATTGCAGGCAGATTCTTTACCTGCCGAGCCATTGGAGAAGCCCTCCTTTTTTGGCAGAGAGTTTTAAATTAATTTACTTAGCTTTTGGGGGAAAATGAGAAATCCTGGAAAATGCTTTTAAAAGACTTTTAGGAAGAAGTTACTGTGCAAATCACTTTATTTTTTGAAAAGCTTTAAGAACCAGTAGTTTGTACATTTGTATAAGGTGACGGTGTAGGTGTTTCTGGGTACATGTCTAGCCAGAAAGGGTAGTGAGTCACTGGAGCTCTGGCCCTGTGCAGCTTGGAGGTCTTATTTCAGGAGATGAGCTAAGTCGTGATAACCATAGACAGAATTCCAGATCTTCCCCGGGAGAATTCGCTTCAAGAGCTGTTTGTGCTTCTCCCCGTAACTATTTCTGACACTTCTTTTACAGATGTCTTCCAGGGATAAGGGCTCCTGAGATAGCTTTAGGAGGGTTTCCCTTAGGAGGTGGAATTCTGGGAGCAGGATTCCTGCAGGCAGGTTTCCTCGGTGGTTGGTCAGCCTCAGAGGGTAAGAGTGGAGGAGCAACCTGGCGAGAAGGGCCGTGTCCCGTATGTTGGAGCCACGCTGGAGGTACATGTATATCGGAGACTCCCCGTTTCTTGTTAAGATGTTCACGTTGGCTTCAAATTTGAGCAGGAGGTTGATGATCGCCTCCCTGCCTCCGAAACATGCCTCATGGATGGCGGCCTGACCGTCATGGTCCTGGGCGTTGACCTGGGCCCCGTGGACCAGGAGCAGGCGAATGCAGCCAAGGCCTGCTGCCAGTAGCCGGCCGGCCTTGCTCGACGCGGTGCACACCGCCAGCTTCAGGGCCGTGTTGCCCGTGGATGAGATGGCGCAGTTGACGTTGGCCCCCCAGGCAATCAGCGTTTCCATCATCTCCTCGTTGAGTTTGTCGGCAGCCATGTGCAGGGGTGTCATGCTGGACCCGTTCTGGGTGTTGACCTGGGCCCCGTTCTGCGCCAGGATGGACAGGACCAGGTGGGTCCCGTACATGGTGGCCAGGTGCAGCGGGCAGTGCCTGCGGCCGCTGTCGACCTGCGCATTCACCTGGGCCCCATGCGCGCACAGGATGCGGAGGCAGAGGATGGCGTTGCTCTGGATGTCCGTCAGCATCATCTGGATCCTGTCCTTCGGCTTCGTCCATGTGGTTGAGGTGATGGGCCAGTTCAGCAGCATCAGGTGCAGGGTGGTGAGGCCTTCCGTGTCCCTGGAATAGGCATTTGGGGCCGGTTACACTCAGCTCACAGTGGGGATGGCTTGGCGGGGCGAGCTTCGGCTTATGAAGGAAATGATTACGATAGTACCCTGTGATTACCCGAAAGATGGGTTCGACAGTGTGCATTGCTCTTCAGTTTCTTGGGGTATCGCAGCATTCTGAGGGGACAGGGTGGTATGCCTCACGGCACAGAGGGGCCCGTCTTCCTGTCACAGCTGGTGTCAGCTGCAACTCCTGCTAGATTCGTGGCCTCTTCCAGGCTGCAGCTCAGTTACCTCTGAGTCCCAGCCCCTCCCCAGGGGAGTGTGCAAAGTTAGCAGCCATTCAGTGACACTGCCTGGACTCCTGCATGATCCAGAGGTCCCCACCGAAGTGAGCCATGCAGGGCCAGGGTGCCCGCCGACTCAGCCCCTGGTGGCCCCGCGCCTGCTCCCCTAACTGGACGTCTTCACCCACGTGCAGATGGCGGGGCTGCCTCTGGAGTCACCCTCGGAACCTGCTCCGCCCCGGCCAAGCAAGGGTTTGACAACTCAGCCGTCATCTCCGTTACTGAAGTCTCTCCTGATTGCCTTCAGAACTCCTTGATTTTGGCAGAGAAAGGGGAAGGTCTCTTAGGAACATCTGACCGCTCCCCTGGAATTGGATAACTGAGTTCACCTGTGTGGATTTAGTGTAAGCCCTGCGACAGGGAAGTGGGGAAATAGCAGCGTCCCCACCTTGCAGAGCTTCCAGTCAAATGTGGAAGGATCAAGCCGACAGAGCTGCTAAACAGGCTGGTGGGCAGAGTTCTCCAGAGGTCTGCCGCCCCACCCAAGGCGAGGAAGGTGTACCAAGGAGTCCCAGCGGAGGGGTGGGGGAGCTGATGCTCCTCCAGTCCTGGGAGGCCTGTGAGCGGCTCTGCAGACCCTGGTGGGGCTCATGGGGGAGGGTGACGGCACAATGTGTTGGGGGCCCTTCTGGAGCACAGTCAGGATTTGGGGCTTTACTTTTCGTTCATACCGTGTACGTCTTCCGTTCATTCAGATGGTATTTATAGGACACTTAGGAAGAATCAGCCTTGGTTTAGTGGTGAAGATATATTGGGAAGCAGGATAAACTTCTTTCCAAGAAAATCTCTGCCTATTTCTATTTTCTTGTCTCTCCTATCTAACTTAAGTCATTAAACTCCTTGAGGGCTGTGACCAGGGACTTCACTTTGCACAAACCATTGCTGAGCACTTAATACTTAGGATGCTTTAAGTGGGCTGACTGAGTTGTGTTCTCACATTATTTCCAGTTTTTCAGAGGCTGTCTAGTCAGTAAAGAAACTGATTTGTTCAAAACGTGGTAACCTGTAGCCCATCACTGGTGGAGAATGGATGAGTCCAGATGTGACCGGGGAAAGGGCACTGAAATTCTGCGTGTCCTCATTTATTCATATTTTCAGAACTGCGGCCTGTTGCGTTAACTTACCGGACTTCTGGGTCAGCCCCGTGCTCCAGCAAACAAAGCAGACTCTGTGCCTTGCGGTATTTGGCTGCCAGGTGGATGGGGATGAAGGACAGCGTCTCCTTGGGGGGAGAAATATGTTACAAGTAGCCCAGTGTAGTTGGAAATAACAGTTGGGTTAATCCCCCTCAAGGGGATTAATTATGTTTAGTATCTCTTTAATTCAGTATTTTTCTGCTATCTGCCCTGAAATTACGCTTTTTTTTGCTTGTTTTAAATGACCCCAAGCTAGTCAATTCTGTATTATAAAAATCTGTATTTTACATTAATGCAGATTTACCAAGGCAGCAGATACAATTTACTTAAAGCTTTGAAAGTCATTTCTTGTGATGAGCTCATTGTGTAGAATTAATGGTAATTGCTATCAAGTCCCTTTGAATTTAAATGAACCCAGAGGGTCACTGCCAAGTAGGTTCTGTGTTTTTTATGGCTTTGCCGTATCATTTTGGTATCATTAGTAAATTCTGCATTTTCAGGGTTTCCAAGTTAATGCCGCTTATGTTGTCTATGATTAGCAGAGCTGTTTACCCAAGTTCTTAAAAAAGATGTATGTAGTGGCCTTATAGCATGACTGCAAGATTAGGGCAGAGGGTGACTTTAAAAAAAAATTACAAAGGTAATAATACTCATTGTGTAAAAATTCAGAGAATGAGAAACGTATGTGCAAGAAAGGGAGACGGGACCCCAGCACACAGATGCAGCCTTGGCGCTCCTGAGAGGATGACAGGAAGGCTCTTCCAGCCGGGCGAGCCCCGCCTCTGGTCACACCGCTTCCTGCGTGGTCCCTGGGAAGGGGGTGTCGCGACTCGGCAGAACACGACCCGGGGCGCACTGCCCGGCCTGGGCATGCTGAGGGCGCTGAGCGAGCGGGCAGGGGAGGCGAGTACCTGGTTGAGGTAGAGCCTGGGGTGGCCCATGCTACAATCCATGGAGTCGACTGGGACGGTCACGGGCTGGTTGACGGGGTGGCTCCTCAGCAGGGCCCGGAGCGCGGCGCAGTCCTGCTGCATGATGGCCTCGCAGAGCTGGACGTGCACTGTGGCCGCCGTGCCGCCCCCTGGGGCCTGGGGCCCGTCGGCCGCCCGCCCCTTGCTGCCTCTCTCGGTTATGTTTCCCATGAGCACAGCTTCCAGTGGGGAACCTCGGGATTCAGGGGAGGTGCAGGACGGAATCGTCAGTCCCACTTTCTGGGGTTCTTCCAGCTCAGTTCTAGAACTGACCTAGAACTGCTGAGAATCGTATCCATGAACACGACGCATTTTTACCTCAGAGTCCAACTTTTTCACCTGTTGTTCCTGTATCTGTTGTGCCAATAGAAGCATTGTTTCCAGGATTTTCTCTTCAGTCATAAAAACGTATTCAGAATGTCATCTTGTACATAAGATTGTTTTTTCTGTTTTCTCTTCCCATTCAGCTACTGTTAAAGAAAACTGATGAAGCTAAAATAAGGGAATTTATACATTCAAATAAAACTTTTTTTTTTATTTGTCCAGGCCATGAGGCCTGTGGGATCTTTGTTTCCCAGTCAGGGATTGAACCCGCGTCCCCTTCGGTGGAAGCTCGGATTCCTAACCATCAGGGAAGCCTCCAAACAAATGACTGTGTTGGAATTAAGAAAACCTGACTTTTAACCTGAGCATTTTTCAGTTTTCAGTGGAATTCCTCCTGCCTCCAGCAGAGGGGTATTTTCGCACTGGTCTAGGGGTAGCTCCAAGGTAGACGTGTTGCAATCTAGTGATTGCTTCGACAGAGCAAAATGTATATGTTCAGAGTGTGGCCCAGTCCTTCCCAGCCCTGGCTGACACAGGAGACATCTGGGAGCTGTTAAAAAAAAGACCAGTTTTCTTTTTTTTTTTTTTTTTTATTAAGAAAAGAAAAATCAACAGCTTTGACTTGTTGAAAGGATAGTAGTTTTCTAAAAGCTTCTCAGTGATTCTGAGGTCTCAGCAGGGCCAAGGTGCGCTTGTATACAAGCATGCTCTGTTAGAAGCTGGGGACTTGAAACCAATGTCAGTGCCCATGCCCACCCCCGAAAATTTTGTTAGTCCAGGGAGTGGCTTGGACACTGAGGTTTGTTTCAGGTTCCTCAGTGAAGTGCGGCCGAGTTTGAGAGCCACTGTTCTCATTGTTAATTCATGAAGGGCTGCTGACTCCTGAGTTGAGAAGTCTCAACATCTCATTTTCACTGTTCGTTTTAGAACACCAGGGAATTGACGTATTGTGTTTGTTTACAGCCCAGGAATATTTTCCTTCATGGCCCTGATCAGCAAGTAAAAATAGGAGACTTTGGCCTGGCCTGTGCAGACATCATCCAGAAGAACACAGACTGGGGCGGCGCAAATGGGGCGAGTAAGTTTGTTTTGGTGGTGGTTTTTGTTGGTTTGTTTTTACATTAAAAAGAGAGAGACACGGTTGGACACTGTCAGTATTTAAAGAGAATCATAAAGACTTAATAGCAAAGGTGTGATTTTAAAAAACAGCTTGGGAGCTGCAGTGTCTGCTCAGGGTCAGGGGTCTTCACATGGATGGTACTAACCCTGCCAGGCTTCATCTTTGACTTTTCAAATCACAGGGATGCCAACACACACCTCCAGAGTGGGTACGTGTCTGTACGCTTCCCCCGAACAACTGGAGGGATCCGAGTATGATGCCAAGGTAGGACTGGTTCCCTTTTACCCAGTTTGTGGGTTTACCCGTAGTCGGAAGTAACAGAAAGTACAGTAAATGCAGGGGATGCTCTGACATCCAAGTGATTCTAGAGATGGTGGAGTGAGGTAGGTAGATTTTCTCTCACATCAAACAGCCATAGTGGGAAAGCCTCACTTTCTAACTGCATCGTTGGAAAAGACCCTGATGCTGGGAAAGATGGAGGGCAGGAGGAAAAGGGGGTGACAGAGGGTGCGATGGTTGGATGGCATCATCGACTCAATGGACATGAGTTTGAGCAAACTCTGGGAGACAGTGAAGGACAGGGAAACCTGGCGTGCTGCAATTCATGGGGTCGCACGGAGTTGGACATGACATAGCGAGTCAGCAACTGTTTTCAAGGGTTTCATAGATGTCACTGTGTATTTCACTACTCAATGACCGTCTCCCCTGTTTTCCAGTCAGATATGTATAGCTTGGGCGTGATCCTGCTGGAGCTCTTTCAGCCATTTGGGACAGAAATGGAGCGAGCACACGTTTTAACAGGTTTGAGGACTGGACAGATCCCCGAGGCCCTCGGTAAAAGGTGTCCCGTCCAAGCCAAGTACATCCAGCACTTAACCAGAAAGAACTCAGCCCAGAGGCCATCCGCCATCCAGCTGCTGCAGAGTGAGCTCTTCCAAAACTCTGGAAATGTATGTAGGACTTATTTAATATTGGGGAAAACAGGAAGTCTAACATGGAGTTGTTTTGTTTTTTTTCCCCATGGCAAAAACAAGTTTATTGAAGAAAGAACAAAGAGTACCTCAAGGAAGAGGTGGGCCAAGCCAAGAGAGGCACTGGCCAGACGTGGTTTAAATTGTGAATCCCATTTCATGAAGAGCAGTTGAGCTTACAGTAGAGTTACAGAAATGAAATATCTCAACCCATTCTCAGAGTTTGCAGTGGCGCACCTATCAGGCAAGCCAGGTGACCCTGCCAGCTGTCCGCGCTGAAGGTGGTCACCTGGGGCTCCAGTTTCGAGCCTCATCCTGCTGTCAGAAGGTTTTGGTTTTCCTTTCCAGCCATGGTATGTGGCCTTTTATGAATTGTTAGAAAGTGTGTACTGGTAGAAGGGCTTCCCAGGTGGCATAGTGATAAAGAATCCACCTGCTGTGCAGGAGACAGTGGTTCGATCCCTGGGTCGGGAAGACGGCCTGGAGGAGGAAATGGTAACCCTCTCCAGTAGTCTTGCCTGGAGAATCCCATGGACAGAGGAGCCTGGTGGGCTGCAGACCATGGGGCTGCAAAGAACCGGACACAACTGGGTGCACAGCAGAAAGGCGCACACACCAGGGGATCTAGGACAGCAGGGACGCCCAGGGGAGCCGGCCCGTCTGTGGCCGGGCCCTCCTTAACCAGCCTGAGAGAGCTCAGCGTTCGGGTGCGGGAGTCTGGCCTTCTCTCCCGTGAGCAGGTGTTGCCCCAGGCAGCCCCTCCCCGCCCTCCTTCCCGACTCGGTGTTTCACTACCGGGTATGAACAGAAACTTTCCAAGACTTAAAAAAGTCTGCATTCAGAGAGAAACTCAGGTTCTCTGGTGCTTTGCTACTCAGAGTGGGTCCTCTGGCCAGCAGCAGCAGCCTCACCTGGGAGCTCGTTAGAAACAGGGGCTCTGGGGCTCTATGCCCCCGACCTGTGTCATAACAAGGTCTCCGAGGGTCTTCCCCCCCCCCAGCGTGTGGGCAGCAGTGTGCTAACGCGCTGCTTCCGGGGAGCAGTCTCCAGACCAGTGGGTAAAATCACTGCCAACTTCATAGAATTCTTGGAGCCCCCTCCCTCCCCCACTGGCCTGTTAAAAACGAAACCTGTGGGAGAAGGGGCTGCGGGAGAAGGGGCTGCCGTGCTTCTACAGGCCCTCCAAGGGGTTCTGAGGCTCACGAGTTGGGGACCCACTGGCAGCTGGTTAGTTAGTTTATCTCCTGTTTAAGGCTTATTTGTTTTTGAGTCAAAACAGGGAATTTTACTAGATTGAATGGTAAACAGGCAGGTGTAGTGCCTTTCTCTGAGCCTCTGAAAAGAGCAGATGTGGTTGTTAACTTGATCTCCTCATGTGGCAAGAATTTTCTAACTCCCCGTGAGGATGGTGAGTGGAGACCATCGTTACTTGGCATTAATGGTAAGGATTTCTCCTGGTAGCACTTGCCCACAGGAAGCCCCACACAGACACCTCTGTTTACACCTGTGGCCCTCACTCTGCAGTGCAGGGCTGCGAAGATGACCCGAGCTCACAGCGTACGGAAGGAGCTTAATCGTTGACGGGAATAAGCCAGCAGTTACTCCTTGGCCTTTAAAAACGTTTGTCAAAACATTTAAAACTCTCGCATCATCTAGTTACAGATGTATACGGACATGAAAAGTTATAAAACTACAACGGAGCGTTAAAGTGTTTCAGTAGTTTGAGCAGTGCCGGCCTTCATCTTGTCCCGTAATCTAGGATACAAGAGTGAGCACCTTTCACACGGTGACTGGCCACCCTGCTTGCCGAGTTTGCATCAGCTTCTGGCATTTTGTCTTGGGCACTTTTGATGCTGGGATCTGTTCCCAAGGGTTCTTTCCTGGGGACATCTGTGTCCTCTTCCTGTTTGATAAGCTGCCCTCACTCTGCGCTGGATGGTGGCGCGATCTGCAGCCCCAGCATCAGCTGTTCTGTCTGGGACGCCGTGGGTTTGGTTTTCACTTCCAGCACCGTCCCTTCTCATCGCTCAGCTGCACTTTCATCTCTCTGGGCCGATTCCCTCTTTCAGAAAGGTCAGTAGGTTTATCACTGGGAGACAGGAGGCAGCACGGCTGCGCGCACACTGCCGGTGCGTGAATCGACTCACACCCTCGGTGACCAGCCACCAGGGCTTTCCAGAGAAGTGAGCACTGCCCCCTATCAGGAGACGCGTGGTGGGTCACATCGCGTGCTGTGGACTTGCAGCGCTCAGGCAGTCAGTCACTCTACCCGGGTAACTGACGCGCGACCACGGGGCCGTGACGCGTAGTAAGCTGCGGGAACTGGAGGCCACGTGGGTCAGGACTGCGCAGAGAGGCAGCCTGTATGTTTCAAAGGAGAGAAGAACCTGAGGCAGTGGAGCTTAAAATTTTCTCTCTTCACAGGTTAATCTCACCCTACAGATGAAGATACTCGAGCAAGAGAAAGAAATTCAGGAACTAAGGAAGCAGCTAAGTCTCCTGTCTCAGAACAAAGGGGTGAAGGGTGACATGAGAGATGGGGGCGTGCCCATCTAGCCGCAAGGGCTCTATACACAGGGAAGCGGACTTGAACTCTGCTAACCGAAACAGTCACCTGGAGTGTGAATTTCCCGTCTTTACTCGGACTTGAACTCTTCAACCTAAGCAGTCACCTGGAGTGTGAATGCTCGACCTTTACTAGGGTGTAGCTGGTGTAACTCTAAGTGTATGTGGAAATCCTCTACAGGGCTCATCGAAGTGAGGTTGTGACAGTGCCTTCTAAGGCTGGCATTTTGCACGAAGACGGCTTCAGACGAACCCTGCTCTCGTCTTTCCCTTCTGCCCTGTGTGCGCCTTTCCCTGGATTTCTCACCTTAATGGCCCCATCCCTCCAGCCCCGACCATGAAATGCAGGCCTGCTCCTCAGCACTTCTGAGCGCTGCCTGCCGACCGCATCCTCCTCTAGTGTTCTGCCGCAGAGACGTGGCATGCTCTGAGCCTCTGCCGGAGCCCAGGCCCGTGTGCTCGCTGGGCTGCTGGGTGGACAGCTGCCGGCCCCCCGCCCTCCACACTACTGCCTACTCACTGCGAGATGTCAGCCGGCGGCACGGTGCACGTCGCCCAGCCTGCTCCTGTTCTCTTCACCTTCGCCCGGGCACCACCCCAAAACCCACCCTCTCAAAGCCCCCACACCACTGTCGGGCGGCTGTGCGCTCAGCGTCCCTGCCTTTGCCCTGCGTGGTTCCCACGGGCTTCCTCCTCACAGACCCGCGTCCCCCAAACCTACATTCCTCAAGGCAGCTATGTGACATTCATGTTTGCACCCCGCCGTGCCGCCGGCAGCTGTCATGGTATATCGCAGTGTCCATGGATTTTAAATAAAATGAAAGCCACAAGTTAATTATGTGATGCTTTTATTGATCCTTGACCCTTGGCCTAAATAAAGGCTTTGATTTTAGTACGAGTCCCTTTACCAATGATAGGCATAAAGCAGCACCATTCTTAAAATCGAAACCCTTGAAGATCAGCGGCCAAGCTTCACTGAAGGAGCTTGAGGGCCGTGTGGAAAGCGGCCAGGTTTTCACAGGCCTGCATCCACTTCTGCACGTTGGCCGGCACCGTCCCCCCACAGCCCCCCGTCTGCTGGAGCACAGACCACAGCACCACATCGGCCACCGTGAGCTCGTCCCCCACGAGCCAGGGGGTCTTCCCGAGGGCAGAGTTCATGGAGCGGAACACGGCGGCCTTCTCTTTAGTGCTGCCCTCTTTCAGCTGAAAAATAGCTATATCCACCCAGCTATCTATGAGGGTTAAGTTCACAGCATCCTGCTTCTGGCCAAAGAGCGAGAACAGGAAGCGGGCGATGTTCCCTTCCCCTTCAATGGGACACATCGTCTGGACGCTGAACTTCATCTGCGTCTTTGGCACTGAAAGGAATAAACACCATGAGGCATCAGCAAGGGCGGCACTGCCAGAGGAAGTGTTTGTGCAGCGTGGCATTGGGGGGTGGGGGGTCCCTGTCAGCCATGCACCAGGTGGTACTTAAAAGGTTGATAATATTCAAGAAAGTTCAAACCAGGTTAAAGAGTGCCAACTATGTTATCAAGTAACCGTTTGTGGTATTTGATGATGACAGCATTCAAGCTGGAAGGACCTCCGACCGTCTGTTCCCGCCCCTGTACCCCAGGATCTGGCGATGAGGACTGGGAACCAGGGGTCTCGTGTACCAGTGAGACCTCCTGCTGCCCTGGCCCTGACTCTCGGGCCTCACGGGATGAATGTGAGCTCACGTCCCTCTAGGAGCCTGACGGAGAGGCCCCTGCAGGGGATACTAAACAAATGACACCCTGCCATCCTTTATCAGGTCACATCTATTAGGAGAGAATGCCAGTTCGCATCATGACAGGCTTTGGAACGTGCCAGCGGCCACTCCCCTGCCCTGGCTGGGTAGACTGGCCTCACCCCCGGACTGAGAGTCAGGACCTGCGCCTTCCCAGAGGATGGAGCGCATCTCCGGGTAAGGACGCCTCTGTCCCTGCAGAGCCCTCACGAGCTTCTTAGACTCGGGGAGGGGTAGACCTGAGGGCGGATGGCCGAGGAGCCCCCCCCCTGCCCCACTCACCGTCCTTCCAGATGAGGGTGAAGCCCAGCTGGTACTCGTGGCGGGGCCGCTGCCTCGTCTGCTCGCCGAAGCACCGGAGGAGGTTGGCCGGCACGCCCCGGATGGCCGAGTGTGTGTGCACCGAGGACAGGACCCGGAAGCGGTCGCACAGCAGCCGGTGCAGCACGAGCAGGGACAGCGGCGGCCAGGCGGGGCTGGCGTTGATCACAATGTCCTTCAACGCCCCGTGGTCCTGGGCAGCGGCAGAGCGCCACGGGAGTCAGAACCCGACAGGGCTTGGCTCGGGCGGGCATCACCTCCCAAAGACGCCGCTGTCAGCCCAGCCTCAGCGGAGGCGGGGAGGGGGCCCCCGAGGGCTCCCAGCTTGCTGAGAACCGGGGACAGGAGCGACTCTAGTCCCTCCAGCTCTGCCCGGACACTCCCACAAACAGAAGTGACTTTACCGTCAGGTCAGTACAACACGGTAGGAAAGACACTTCTGTTTTTCCCCAAGTTAAAAAAACAAATTACACATGCAATTACTCCTTTTACTAAACTGAATGCCCAAAAGGATACAGTTTCTACAGCAATTTGGTTTATGTGCCAATGAGGAGCCCCTTGGGGCTTCCCAGGTGGCTTGCGGTAAAGAACCCACCTGCCAATGCAGGAGACTCAAGAGACATGGGTTAGACCCCTGGGTTGGAAAGATCCTTTGGAGTAGGAAATGGCAGACCCCTCCAGTATTCTTGCCTGGGAAATTTCACGGACAGAGGAACCTGGTGGGCTACAGTCCACGGGTCGCAGAGCTGGACACGACTGAGCGAGCAGAGCACAAGAGCCCCGAGGAGAGGGCTTGGCTGAGGGAGACTGAGTTACAGTGCTGAAATGCACGGCCTTTTGTTTTCTAAATGTAATCACAGTTGATTTATGACCTGCACTGCCCTTTCAGACGAAGACTATCATTTCATAACGGGTGAACTCGTCCGATACAGCAGAAGCCGAATGGCTTGGCTTCTGTCCACAGCCCTGCCACAATCTGGCCTCTGGTCTGGTCTGGCCAAGCCACTCCTGACTAATGCCCTTCACGTGGACCTAGGCTGGGTGCTCTCCATTTCTCCAAGCGTATCGTGTTACCTGACCCTGCCTTCTGCAGTATCAAGATTCATCTGAAGCAGTGTGCTTGGGGAGGCCCCTCCGGCCCTGGGACACCCAACACGGCTGTGCTCACAGATTTACCCCCTACGCAGACTGGCTCCCAGGGGACTGGCTGGGTGGGGTCTCATGCAAATGTGAACTGGGTGACGAAGGGACACGTGACTGCAGAGGGATGCATGTTTTCAAAAATAGCTCTGGGCGAGACACTGCAGCGCTGCCTCACTTGTTAGGTTTTCGAGCAGGACCATTTCTACCGTCAGTTCTAGGTGTGGTGCTAGCGGGGATTCTTGGGGCGAACCCTTTTGTACTCACTTGTTAACAAGACGTTCTTTCTCTGCGTATCAAATTATCACCTAAATCAGCTGCAGCAACTGAATTTTAACAGAGCAAATGGATTTAAGCAAAGTATGTCTGAGGTCTGAGACAGTGACTTGCTTTCGGCAACAAACTGCAGAAGGTTTGGTGAGATATCTGTGCCTGGGCAGCCAAAGCTCTGAAATTCAGGCCCCTCCCAAGGAACAAAGGTTGACTCGGCTGAACCTCAGAGAAGCACTGACGAGCCACCCAAGAGCTGCCTCCCCAGGGCTCGGAGACTGCTCCGAGCTGCCCCAAGTGGCAGGAAGAAGGGGCTCCTGAGTCCCTCCTCTGCCTAAGGGTCCTCCCAGTCTCCTCTGCATCTGAGAACTGTAGAGCTGCATTAGCGCCTGCCTGGCTTCACTGACAGCTCACACGCCTGTTCTGTGCAGGTACAATCAGAAGAGGAAAAAAATGTGCTTTTTGCAGCATCTTTGAAAATGTGGAAACCCAGGCTTCATTCACACTAGCACGATCTTCCAGCACCAACCACCACCCAGCATCGTGATGTTCTTCGGCTTCCTGAATGAACTTACCTGTCCGAGCATGGCGTTTAAGTCCACCACGCTGGTCGACAGAGCAGCTGGCTCGTCAGCCTGGATTATGTTGGTTACATCCAAGTCCGCATCTGGTGTCTGAATCATCTTGGACAAACCATCGACTGCAGCTTTCAACTCGTACAGACGTTTTAAAATATCATCTTGGCGGGACTCAAGAGCTTGAAGAGACGGGTCCGAGGCTTCCTAAACAGACCAACATCAGAACGTTCATTTCCTCTCACGGCAAAACACTCTGTTTAAACTTGGCCACTTGCCTTCTACTTAGTTCCATGAATTCATCGAACTTCCTGCCTTTTGAAAGACATCAAAATGAAGTAGCAGGATCATCTCATTTTCTCCAGTCCCATAGGTCCTGAAATCAATCCCCAGATGCTATAAAACAAACAACGCTGCGACTGAGAACCACTTTGAAATTGTAAGCCTCCTACTTCAGGCACTTAAGTCTTTAAAAACAGAATGAGAAAAAAACACAACACAGATTGTTCCTTCTATCAAATTAGTCCAAAATACTTTACATAAATAACAGGATAAAGACGGGGTGGGCATGGCAATAAGAATGTGATCAATAATTTATACTAATGGAAGAAAAACAGGGGCACGCACAACTTAAAAAACGTGTCTAGGTTTGGAGGTATATCTGGGGTGGGCAGGGTGGTGGTGGTAGTGTGTATATGTGTGTCAGTGTGTGCGTGATCTGTGCCCCAAATCATTTTTGTGTCAGTACTGGCACTCCCTTATCTTAGAATTATATAGAACTTCTTCACTGCTGAGATGTATAACTTCATAAACAGGGAATACTCACACCTTCATTCACTGAATCTCTGTATCTTTCTTGCTTGTTGCTGGACTGGTATACCTTAAGTAACTAGTAATATTTGCTGAGGTTTTCCCTGGTGGCTCAGATGGTAAAGAATCCGCCTGCAGTGCAGGAGACCTGGGGTTCAATCCCTGGGTTGGGAAGATCCCCTGGAGGAGGGAATGGAAACCCACTCCAGTATTCTTGCCTGGAGAATCCCCATGGACAGAGCTTGGCGGGCTACAGTCCATGGGGTCACAAAGAGTTGGACTAACACAATATTTGCTGAGGAATAAATCTCTACATACTTATTTAAAAAGCAATAGTGAGAAACCTCCCAGTAGTAAAAATATGCAGCCTATTTCCAGATTCTCAAGCTCTCACAAAAGATACCTCATTTGAGTCAAGAGAGCAAAGGACCCCTTAAGCATGAGTTAAGATGCTCATAAGGAGACAGAAGGGTCAACAGGCAATGACCTTGAGTCTATAGAAACATGGGCTCACTATACAACGTGAGTGTGGGGAGCGCGCCTGCTCACATTGTGTGCTGTTGACTTTAAGGAACACTGCGTTCCTCCCCTCGTCGCTCATAACTGCCCTCCTTGAAGATCCCATTCATCACCAGCTGCTGTCCATTTCTCGGAATCCAGTGGCTCATAAGCTGCCTCCATGGTCACCGCCTGAGTCTGAGACACCACTTTCCACCTGGCGTCCTTCCACCTGGCACCGTTCTGATCCATCCCTCCTGCCCATCCCCAGGATGGTGGCCAGAAAGCAAAACAACCTCTTAGGCTAAAAAGCACAGTCCTTAACCTGGCTTGATAAAGAGCTGGTACAGTTGGTCCTCTGGCTTCCTCCTCTCCCATCATTCTCCCCCTCACTCTGTGAACAGGCCACACTGTCCTTTGGGTCCTAAAACGCTCAGGCCCCCACCTGCCCCAGGGTTTTTCCTCATGGAGTTCCCTCTGTAACACCCTTCCCCTGGGTCTCAGGTGGTTAATGCCTATGTACCCTACAGCTGGACCTCCACACTCAGCTCCCTTGCCTGCTGCTCTTGTTTAAGATCATACAGCGGAGAAATGCAAGATGACTGCGGTCTGGGTGGAATAAAGAAGAATAGAGAGTTCACTGTGCCAAGTACCTAATGGGGTGCTGACCCGAAATCAGTCTGTATGAAAGGTGTGTGACCGGTGAGGCCACCACCTGTGAGATATCCTCAGGTTACTCAGTATTAGTCCTCCTGAGTAACACTTCCAATCCTGTAATCCAGCCTGTATGTGCGCACCGTCTGTGGGCAGCTTCGCTCATCTCTACACACGGCACGGGCACCCCTGTCCGACCAGGAGCGGAGCACCCACTGTATTCAAGACCCTCAACGCTCACTGGAGACTGGACCCAGTACTACGAGCGGAATGGGACCTGTGAGCAGGGATCTAACACAGCTTCATCGGAGGAACCTGAGATCCGCCTCACCTGTTTTTTAAGCCTTGCTGTGTGGCATTTGGGACCTCAGTTTCCCAACCAGGGCCTGAACCAGTACCCACTGCATTAGGAGGGCAGACTCTTAACCAGTGGACCCCCAGGAAGTCTCAAACCTACCGCTCTTTCTAACGCTGGCCTGTTGTTTTGCTTGCTTGGGCTAGACTGTGACTTGGCGTGTTGTGTTTATCCATTTGTGTTATCTAAATGTATTTAGAAGTTGTTCATTCTTTGTGTTGCTCACATTTCCCCTGGAGATGCTAGGTTTCTAATTATCTATCCACATTGCTATCATCTGCTGGGTTATTATCTTCCAGGTTGCAAGTTCACAGTTAAATGCCCAAAGGAAGTCAGGCAGCAGACTTTAAAAAAAGAAAAAAAAAGGACTTGGTCTCAAAAGAGATGTGACGCTCTCCACTCTGGGGTTTCCTTTCCAGTTCCAAGAGTCTGTCCAGTTGAGAGGCACTGGACTGTATGTCTCCATGGGGATCTCCAGGTGAAGAGACACTGGACCATGCCTGCATTGTTGCCTTAGCTCTGCAGTGAGATAACACTTGTGTTATTTGCTTTCAAACTAAACTAACCACCTCCCTTACAGTCGAGGCAGAAAACTCTTCACACAAAGGATGACAGAGATAACGAGTCACAAAAGTTCTCTATTCACTCATCTGAGTGAGAATGAACTAAAAGTTTCTCCCTCAGGGAAATTAAGATGTGTTTGTAATTTATAAAAAAGTCAAAGCTGAGCAGTTACTTTACAAAGGAGGAAAAATCAAAATGCCCAATAAACATGAAAAGGTGCTGAACTTATCTGGAGGTCTGGGAGATCTAAACTATATTAGGATGTCATTGTACTCCCACCAGCTTTGGGGAGGGTGCCAGCACCAGAAATTCACCTACCTACAAAATTAAAAAATAAATACAACGGACTTCCCTGTCAGGACAGTGATTAAGGCTCTGCACTTCTATTTCACGGGGCGAAGGTTCGAATCTGGTTGGGGAACTAAGATCCCGTGTGCTGCAGCGCAGCCAAATGGTTTTTTAAAAACAATTTAAAAAATCAATAGATAAAATGAATTTCTTAAAAAAAAAAAAATTCACCTACACTGCAGGGGACAGCATAAACTGGGATGACCGCTTTGAAAAGCAACCTAGTCCAGCTGAATACAGACCAGCCCACTGAGCCAGCAATCCCATGTCCATGGTATATACTCTATGCCTGCTCTCGTCCAAGCATATTCACTGCAGAACTGTTCATAACGGCCTAAAATAGAAAACCAGCGGACGCCCGTGGGCAGTGGGATGGATAAAGACGTGGCGGCACAGTTACGCCAAGGAGCAGTAAGCCAGAGGATGAAAGCGAAGCTTTCTCATGCAGCAAAGCGATTCTTCCAATCACGTTTAGAAGGGGCAGCCAGACACCGCAAGGCACGCACTGCAGGCTCCCACTGACACCAAGACCCCACTGTCCAGGGACGCACACTCAGCGGGCAAAGAGAGAAACGCAGGACACAATGACCGCGCCAGAGTTTTAAGTGGGGGCGCTGACAACGTGTTACCCTGAATGGGTGACCCTGGGATTCGCTTTACGATTCCCTAGAACTCGCCACTGATGTATTCCTCACTTCTCAGTGGGTAGAATTTAGTAATAAAAGTGTAAGCAGTCTTAAGCGGAAGAGAAAAAAAAAAGACGTGATAGATGTTCCAATGGGTAAAAGTTATGGTCACTGGGAGGCCGGAGGGCGCGTGAGGCTGCGGTGGGGATAGGCATCGGGTCTAGTCGCCACGGTTTTGGTTCGACACAGTTCAGGTCGCACGGTCCCGACTTGGTGCGACCCGCGGACCCTAGACCCCAAATAACGCCGACCAGCGCCGCAGCGCCTGCGCACTGAGCAAGAGGGCGGCGGGTCGGCGACGCGGTGAGCCAGGGCGCCTGCGCACTGGACAGCCAAGGCGGTGGGACGGGGCCTTGGCGCCTGCGCACTGAAAAGGTGGGGGGGGCGGGGCAAGGGCCGCGCGTTCCTACCTGCACGTGGTCGGCGGACGGCGCCGGGCTGCCGGTCCTGCCGTGCACGTTGGGGAGCCGGTACATGCAGGTGGGTAGCTCTACGCGGAGAGATCCGCTGCCCTCGTGATAGGGCTTTACCTGGTACATCGGCATCCTGGGAAGCAAAGGAGAGAAGGTGGCAGGTGAGAGACACGAACGCTCACAAACCGTCCAAGTCTACGACAGTCTGCTGCCACCTCCTTTCCGACCGGGCTGCGGGCTTTCGGGAAAGCGCAGTTCCTGTGCTCTAATTGGCCCCTGCTCTCTCGACGTCACGGACTCGACCTTTGACACCACCAATCAGCGAGAAGAAGCTGTGGGAAGCGTTCGCGGCTTTATCCGGAAGTGGGCGGGGCACTGTGTGGGAAGTAGCCAATGGGCGGCCCGGTGGCGCCCGGGAGCGGCGGAGCGAACAGCTCCGAGTGCCGCCTCAGGCTCTGCATCCATGGAGCGAGCAGATGGGCCGAGGTGAGCCGAGCTTGCAGCGTTCTCTCGCGGTCGCCCTAACTAAGGCCCACGGCGTTCCAGCCCCTGGAACGGAGAGGAAAGTGACCGCGGCGCAGACCGAGCCGGCGACAGGGAGACCCCGGAGCGGGCTCCTCAGTGCGGGCTCCTCAGTGCGCCCCACACCTGCCGCCCTGTGGGTTCACTTTGAGGTCGGGGTCCGCGGGGATTTCAGCCCCCTGTCCGGACGCTGCTACTCATCCGCGGGCCTGAACCCGGAGCTTGAAATCCCAGTAGACAGAATTCTTTTCCTTTTTACCTGGTTGCGCGCGCTTTCTCTCTTTAAATTGAGGGTTGTTTTAGAGGCGGCTTCAAGACACATGCTAATTTGCATAGCCGCACAATTTTAAAGGACGCGGTGCTTCTGTATCTCCTTGAGTATACGGTTACCCGCAGAGACACCGAAGTCGGGGTTAGCAGATCTTCGGGTAGCATTGCTGCACAATTGTCAAGATTCGTGAACCCAGATTCTCTGTGTTTGTTTAAATGTTGTATCTCCACCTCTCCAAATGTCAAGGCTGGGCCCGTATAGGATGCCCTGCTAAATCAACTTATTTTTAGAGGTACTTTTTTCCATTTTATGTGGTCTCATCTGCAGTTTTTACATTTAATACAAACTTGAGTAGAATTTTTTGCAAGGTAAAATGAAGAGGAAGAATTTTTTTTTTTTTTTTAAATAGGGGTCTACCGAGGATATGGGTTTCCCTGATAGCTCAGTTGCTAAAGAGGCTGCCTGTAGTGCAGGAGACCCGGGTTTGATTCCTGGGTCGGGGAGATCCCCCCTGGAGAAGGGATAGGCTACCCACTCCAGTATTCTTGGGCTTCCTTGATGGCTCAGCGGTTAAAGAATCCGCCTGCAATGCGGGAGACCTGGGTTTGATCCCTGGGTCAGGAAGATCCCCTGGAGAATGGAAAGTCTACCCCCTCCAGTATTCTGGCTTGGAGAATTCCATGGACTGTGTAGTCCATGGGGTTGCAAAGAGTCGGACATGACTGAGTGACTTTCACTTTTGAGGATATACTATGTCCAGGTGACAAGTAGTGGTAAAAAAAAAAAAAATCTACCTGCCAGTGGAGGAGGCTAAGAGATGTGGGTTTGATCGCTGGGTGAGGAGGATCCCCTGTGGGAGGAAATGGCAACCCAATATTTGTGCCTGGATAATTCTTGGAGAGAGGAGCCTGGCGGGCTACAGCCCATGGGGTCACAGAGTGAGACATGACACCACACACACCTAGTAGACAGTGCGGTGCTAGTAAGTTCTTGAAAAAGTAAAATTATTTGACCAGTTTTGTGGTTTCTAAAGTAACTCTGGTGGTATCATGGGGGATTAATTGAAGTAGAGAGAAAACAGAGACAAACCCTTTGGAAAATTCTGAAAGGAGCTAGAGTCAGGACTTTGAGGGCCTTTGCCAAGACAGGAGTTGGCAGCCTGGATTCAGAGTGGGAATTTTTTTTTTTTGCTCCCTTTGGTCTTCATTGTGGCAGGCGGATCTTTTGTTGGGCATACAGACTCTCTAGTTATAGCTCTCAGGCTTAATTGCTCTGTGGGATGTGGGATCTTAGTTCCCCAACCAGGAATTGAACCTATGTCCCCTATTGCAAGGTGGATCCTTAACTGCTGGACCACCAGGGAAGCCCCTGGAGTGGGTATTTGAAGGCAACCATAGGAATAGTTATCCAACTGGTACCTGATTTCTGAGATGGTTTTGATTTTGACATGAACACTGGATTTCCCAGCAAACTTTTGATTTTTCAAATTGTGGGGAAATGTTGCTTTCAGTTTTTAAGAAAGAAGGTCCTATTGTAAGTGTTTATTGACCCATAGCTTGGGGGGGGGACATGTGTCTCCCCCAGGTAGATCCCAGTATAATTAGATTTTAAATATCTATTTTACTTGAAGTATCCATTCAGAAGATTTTTGACATGTTTAAGGATTGTAGACCAACATTTATATTTATGAATATAATTATTGGATGTATTAATGTAATGGATGGATTAGACCAGTCAGCTGTTAACAGAGATGAATTGTTTCCCACAGTTCAAACGAGGATGAAAATACATAATTGCCTACTTGCTTTTCTCTTGTAACTGGTTTCTTTAGTTCAGAACTTGCTAAGGCCATCAAACCTATCGATCGGAAGTCAGTCCATCAGATTTGTTCTGGGCAAGTGGTACTTGGTCTAAGCACTGCTGTGAAAGAGTTGGTAGAAAATAGTGTGGATGCCGGTGCAACTAGTATTGGTAAGTTTGGGAGAGTTTTAAACCACAAGAAATAATCAGGTTATGCTATTTTACTCAAGAAACAGTAAGATGATCATTGATATGCTGTGAAATTATTTTTTAAGCATAAAAAATAAGACTGTAGAAATCCCATTGATATGCTGAGAAATTGTTATTTTTTTAAACATAAATTTAGGACCTGTTATGTGCCTAGTACTTGGCTAGGTAGTAATAATAATAAAAGCAGTTAACTTTTATTGTGTTCTTACTATGTGCCAGGCAGGCATTGTGCTAAGAACTGCGTAGGTAACATTTAGTCTGCAGAGTAATTTTATGAGACTGGAAATTGCTATTGCAATAATTATTATCTCCATTTTACAAATGAGGAAATTAAGGCACAAGGAATTTGCCTTTTTTGAGCTTTAGCTAGTAAATCTGACCCCCAGGAGTCTGATTCCAGAACCTGTTCTCTTGAAGGCTGTGTTAAAATTATCGTCTCGAAGGAAAGAGGAACGAAAAAAATAAAAATGAAACTACTTTATCTGGGCTAGTAAAAAGCCAAGAAAGACTTTAAAGAATAAAATACACAAGATGACAGTAGTGTATTTAAATAAATATAGTTAGGACTCAAAGTTGCATTTTGTAAGTTATAACTATTGTCTTTCACTCTAAAGTCTTTTTATGTCGATCAATTTGAGAAGTCAGTACTTTAACCTTTTTAGATCTCAGGCTTAAAGACTATGGAGTGGAGCTCATCGAAGTTTCAGACAACGGATGTGGGGTAGAAGAAGAAAATTTTGAAGGCTTAAGTAAGTGGTATTTTGCTAATCCTATTTAAAAATATTTGGGCCCAATATTTGAGAATTTGGGGTAACACTGTCTTAGGAAACACAAAAACAGCTTTTAAAACCAGTCACTTGGGTGGGTACTCTGTGTTCATTGCTCTGTCGTTTGCGATATCTTGGACTTAGACTTTTCACCTCTCTCTCAGCTCTGAAACATCACACTTCGAAGATTCAGGAGTTTGCTGACCTCACTCAGGTTGAAACTTTTGGCTTTCGAGGGGAAGCTCTGAGCTCACTCTGTGCACTGAGGTGATACAATGTTTTTATCCTCTAACTTGACCCCTTCTAAAAATCTCTCTGAAAATTTAGAAGTCTGATTAGAATCATTTTTTTTACACTTTTCCATATGAATATTCTCAACTTCTAGCTTCTCTGTTCTATCATACTGTCAACCTAAGTGGTAATATTTCTGAAATGTAAGCAATGGATGAATGAAATGAAGCAAATAGTGTATAATATCATAAAACAATTGTTATCCTTATTAAAGCAGAAACTTCTCAATTTAAAAGTAATATAGCTAGGCTTCCCTGATAGTTCAGTTGGTAAAGAATCGCGCCTGCAATGCAGGAGACCCCAGTTCGATTCCTGGGTGGGGAAGATCCACTGGAGAAGGGATAGTCTACCCACTCCAGTATTCTTGGGCTTCCCTTCTGGCTCAGCTGGTAAAGAATCCTCCTGCAACGCAGGAGACCAGAGATCGATCCCTGGTTTGGGAATATCCCCTGGAGAAGGGATAGGCTACCCACTCCAGTATTCTGGCCTGGAGAATTCCATAGACTGTATAGTCCATGGGATTGCAAAGAGTCGGACACGACCGAGTGACTGTCACATAGGGACTTCCTTGGTGGTCTAGTGGTTGGGACTGGGTTCCGTTTCTGGTCAGGGAACTAGATCTCACATCACTCAACTAAATATCCCACCTGCTGCAATGAAAGATCAAAGATCCCGAGTGCTGCAGCTATGACCTGGTGCCGCCAAATAAATAAATTAATTAATTTTAAAAAGTAACATATAGATAAATATAGATGCCATGTACTACTGATTTTAATTTATTTTGATGTTGAGGAAAAAATTTGCTAAACACTTATATAATTGCACACATCTTCTAAGATTTTGTTAGAGTAGTAGTATGATAACTAAACAGAGAAATCTTTATTGGTGAATTCAGAAGTTTTACGATCTTTCATTTTGCAGTTTAACTAAAGCAAGTATCAAAGCTTTTATCAAAACGAAATAGTTACAGAACTCTCTCACTATCTACTGGGGCCCAAGCTTTAGATTTTATGACGATTCTTCACCTCTTTAATCTCTCTTGATGATCTCGGAAGGATCAGCATCTTTTTAGGAGAGTTTTGAGAGAACGGAAGTGAGAAAACGAGCAGGTGACATCCACCACCTGGGCGTCTTTAGCTGACCGTGCTGTGCTGGCTTTTTCTTACAGCGATGTGACTATTTCTACCTGCCACACGTCTGTGAAGGTTGGGACTCGATTGGTGTTTGATCACAATGGAAAAATCCTCCAGAAAACCCCCTACCCACGACCCAGGGGGACGACGGTCAGTGTGCAGCAGCTATTTTATACGCTTCCTGTGCGCCATAAGGAGTTTCAAAGGAATATTAAGAAGGTACAGTAAGGGACGGTCCGGGGGCTGGGAGGCCGCGCCCCCAGCGCCTGGCAAGGAGGGGCGCCCAGGCTTGATCCCTGGTCAGGGAACTAGATCCCGCGTGCTGCAGCTAAGAGATCACACACTGCAGCTAAAAGATCCTGCATGCCACATTGAAGATCCCGCATGCTGTAACTAAAACCCAGAGCAGCCAAAAAAAAAAAAGTACAATAAATCTAGAATCCTGACTTGCAAGAGCCTGGAGAGTGTAGTGACCAAACGTAATTCAATCAGGTTGGTTTGCACATCTCTTCATTCTCTTCCTTTAATTTTTTAATATTTGGAGAGTTGCTTAGCTCATCTCTTTCCCTAAAAGACCCAACTTTTGGATGATTTATCCTTTTCTTTTCTTGGAAAGAATCATCAAATTGTGTTTTAGAAGGTTTTCTAGTATGGGAAATGAGTCTTTTAAAAGGCTATTTTCTGATCCTCTGTATTTTTCAAGAAGATAATTTTTCTTGGTTTCCTGAAAAGTGAATCAGTATAACTTTTATGAATTGGAATGAAAAGGAAGTAGCTGCATCTTATATAACTGTTGTGTTTAAAAAGCACTTAGAAATTGTCTATATATATATATGTGTGTGTGTGTATGTGTAAATATGTATGTATGTGACACATGTATGTAAGTTGTTTAGTTGCTAAGTTGTATCTGACTCTTTGGTGACCCAATGGACTGTAGCCTGCCAGGCAAGAATACTGGATTGGGTTGCCATTTCCTTTTCCATGGATGTATATATGTATATATATATATATATATATATATATAGTTATATGTGTCTATGATTACAGTTTTGTAAAAACAAAGCAACTGGCCTAAATCAGCATAAAGAAAAGGACTGGGAGATTAGATACATGAATGCTACCAGTGATTTTTCTTGGATCTGCTATAACTTTTGCTATCTTCCTTGAGCCTTTCTCTTTTGTATCTATGTTTTTTATAATCCAAAAAATTACTTAAACATATTGTGCTTAAAACTTTCTTTACCTCTAAAGCAATTTTTGCTAGTTAAAACTTTATAAAGTATTGCAAAGTATAGAAAAACTTAAAAAATGTTTTCTTTTTTTAATTTAAAAATTAAATTAAAATTTAATTTAATTTAAATTTTTAATTTAAAAATTAAACAGAGAAAACTTTTATTATTATTTTGTATTGTATGGTAAACACATCTGTGCCTCCAAAACGTAGGCATAAGAGAACTTGTACTTGCCAGAGACGACCATGGTTAACAGTTTGGTTTGTCTTTCCAGTCTCCTCCTACTTTCATGTATTCATAAATCTTAGGAAAGTTTTCAAGACAAATATTACTATTAGGAAATCAAGTGACAGAGAATATGAAACATTTAAATCACATGGAATCGTGTGTGGCAGAAAGTTGGTGCTGTTTCTGCTTGTCTCCCAGACTTCGGTTTGTACTCCTTAGACTTTAAATGCATACGTGTATGTACAGTCTTTCTAAACATGTTTCTTTCTTTCTTTTTTTTTTATCAATTCGGATCATATTATATACACTGTTCAATACCTTGACTTTTTATATAGAATATTGTAGATATCTTTTTTGGTCGACTGGTACTGTATTATTCTATATTATGGTACCATTGTATTGATATACTGTAATTAATTAGCCTCTGCTTAGGTTGTTTTTAATTTCTCACAACTACAGATTGTCTCAGTAAACATTTTCATAATATATTTTTGATTGTTTATGCCAGTGTTTCTTTTGCAAGGATAAATTTCCAGAGGGGAGATTCCAACGTCAAAGGGAACGTACGTCTCAATTTTTATAGCAGAAAACTTGAACATTTTGGAAAGGAAATGGCAACCCAATCTAGTATTCTTGCCTGGGAAATCCCTCGGACAGAAAAGCCTGGCGGGCTCCAGCGCACAGGGTCACAAAAAGAGTCGGATACGACTTAGTGACTCAACATACAACAAGAGTACCCATAAGAGTATTACTTCATTGGCTGGCACTGCACACACAAAAAAAGAACCTTATCCTCTGATTTCTCTTGGATACCATGTTGGGAGATTCAGCTCATAAATTGTTTTGTCTTATTGGAAGATGATATGAGAACCTTGAGTTGGCTGTGTAACTTGAATCATGTGATTCTTGTAAAACTGAAGTAACCTTGAGTCCTTGGGTTTGTGTTTTTTCAACAGGAGTTCGCCAAGATGGTTCAGGTGTTACAGGCATACTGCATCATTTCAGCGGGTGTCCGTATAAGTTGCACCAATCAGGTTGGGCAGGGTAAGCGGCAGCCTGTGGTGTGCACCAGCGGAAGCTCCAGCATGAAGGAAAACATCGGATTGGTGTTTGGGCAGAAGCAGGTAGTGGTGGGCGGTTGTATAAAACCATTTTCTCACTCTTGTGATTATTGGCAAGTTTCTTTTGTTCCTTTTCAATAGAATAGAGCGTTGGAAAAGACCCCGATGCTGGGAACGTTTGAAGGCAAGAGGAGAAGGGGGTGGCAGAGGATGAGATGGTTACATAGCATCACTGACTCAAGGGAAATGAATTTGAGCAAACTCTGGGAGATAGTGAAGGACAGGAGAACCTGGTGTGCTGCCGTCCATGGGGTCAGATACAACTTAGTAACTGAACACCAATAACAAATAGAGAATAAAATCCAGCAATTGATTTTCTTTTAATTAGGCCCCTGTCACAAAAATAATGTTAAGAGCTATAAGTTTTAAAATAATCTTTTTAAAAAAAATAATAATAATAAAATAAAACAGTCCTTTTACTCTCTAAAAAAATAGAAAGTTTTGTAGGCAGTGTATCTTTTTTTTAAACAGTTTTTGGCTGTGTCAGATCTCAGTTGCGACATGTGGGATCTCCCTTGTGTGGCCCACAGACTCTCTAGTTAGAGCGTTCTGGCTCAGTAGTTGTGGCTTGAATGCTCAGTTGCTCTGACGCATGTATGATACTAGTTCCCAGACCAGGACTTGAACCCACATTCCCTGCATTGCAGGGCAGATTCTTAACCATTCCACCACCAGGGAAGTCCTTGTGGGCAATGTATTGATAATGGATAAGTAGGAGCCCCAAGTGTTTCACTTTGCTAATAAATCAAAATTACTCTAAAACTGCAGAAAGCCACTGTTGAGATTCTTTATTCTCTTAACATGGATATCTTGACTATGAAGGAAAACACAGAACTCTCGGTATAGCCTCCTTTCTGGAGTTCGGAGGTTGGAGCTCTCACTTGCTCATGAAAGCGCCGTGAACCTTGGCTTCTTTCAGTTGCAGAGCCTCACCCCTTTTGTGCAGCTGCCGCCTAGTGGCTCCATCTGCGGAGAGTATGGGCTGAGCTGTTCCCAGGCTCTGCATGACCTGTTTTGGTAAGTAGATTGCTGCCCAGAAAATTACCATCTGTTTTTCTTTTTTTTGAGACTTTTTTTTCCCCTTGATTTTGTTTTTAAAAATCGTGCTTTTATAGTTTCTTATGTCCATCGTAAAACTGTAGGCAGTATGATTGCTGAGGAAGCAGGTTTAAATGAAGGAGTCAGGTACTAAATGCAAACAGTGTTCTGGGTAACTGGTACATTTTAGGGGGTTTCTTATTGAGTTAGCCCTTGTAGAAGAGGCTCTGTCTAGTGAATAAGTAGGATAACTCTTAAATTATGTATAGTGTTTCATTTTATTGGGATCTGGCAGAGACAGGTAGAGGCTGAGTTTATTTTCACTGGTGCCTTACTCAGAATCCAATCCAGCATCATCATCATTATTTTTAAATAATGTTTTATCTACTTGGCTGTATTGGGGTCTTAGTTGTGGCATGCAGGATCTTTAATTATGGCATGCCAGATCCTTTATTATTTATTCTTTGTTGCAGCATGTGAACTCTTAGTTGTGGCATGTGGGATCTAATTCCCCAACCAGGGATTGAACCCGGGCCTCTTGCAGTGGTCCAGTGGCTGAGACCCCACACTCTGGATCTTAGGGAAGTCCCCTAGCATCATTACTTTTAGTGTAAGAAAAATACAGACACTTTTCCATAAATAGGGTTGGCCTTGTGGCAGCCCATATTGTTTACCATCTGTCTACTTGCCTTTGGCTTGTGCCTGAAATTAAAGATGAAGATTCACCTTTTTATGTTACAGTATCAGTCTTACAGAAACTCAGATATCCCAGGGGTAGATCTCAGGTGAAATAACCCCGTAACCAGTGCATTAATTGATAGAAGTTTGCTGACTGAGAACAGATTTTAAAAGGGAGGAGAACGTGGGCAAAGAGCCTGGATTCAGGTCCCTGGGCTCCATGGACAGCTTGGTGGGGACTGCATGAAGGTTCTAGAATGTGAATGTGGGGTGAGACCTGCTCCTTATGTGGAGGCTGAGGACTTCATAGGGAAAGTGAGAGCCAAAATGAATCAGTTTTGAAACCACTGACCTACCTGTGGTGGATTTGTCAATAACGGGATCTTGGGACAATCCAGAGGTCTGTGTTCCTTCCATGCTTCACCAGAACGGAACACAGACACACATTACCTGAAATGTTAATACCTGTCAGCTTGTCACCGGGGATTATGTTTTTACTTTTCACTTTGAGAATGTGCTGAGTGATACGTGTCTGATCCTTTCCACTCTGGAATCCTGCCCTAATGGTATTAACATTGAACAGTATCTCAGGTTTTATTTCGCACTGTGCTCATGGCGTGGGAAGAAGTTCAACGGACAGACAGTTTTTCTTTATCAATCGGCGGCCTTGTGACCCAGCAAAGGTATTTCAAGATTTGGGGTGATTAGTTTTTTTCTTCTGGCTTTCACTTTTTATTTTTTATTAAATAACATTTTCTGACACAGGTAATTTACATGGAACTTGAGACTCTGACTCAAAAACATGAATAAATTATCTTTTTTTTCATTCTTCTAATCAATTTTATTCTAAAAACATGTTGTTATGCAAATACATTATTTAAACCGACAATGCTATATTATTGTCATTTAAAAAATATTTTTAGAATGTCTCGCTATTAGTTTCTTTCTTTTTAAAAAGATTTTTGTTTTACATTGGAGTGTAGTTGATTTGCAGTGTTGTGTTTAGGTGTACAGCAGAGTGGTTCAGTTATACACATAACATATATCTATTCTTTTTCAAATTCTTTTCCCATTTAGATTATTACAGAATGTTGAGTAGAGTTCCCTTTGCTATATAGTAGGCCTTTGTTGGTTATGTATAAATTACCTTATTTTAGACCTTTAAAAATGTGTACCATACAGTGGTTTCAATTATACATCTGTGTGTGTGTGTGTGTATACATATGGACATATGTTAATAACCAATATATTTATTATCGTAAAAATTATCACTATTAGAAGACAGTAAACATTTAAAATATTCACTGTTATCTAGACTCTTTGGTGTAGAATGACACGTGCCTCTGTATTTTCTCTTTTTATTTTAATGTGTTCTATCCATTTTCCAGGAAAATAAGGCCCAGCTTGCTTCTGCTTCAAACTAAAACTGACCATCTTGATATAATGATAGTATTTTTTAATGGTCAGTTTTGATTTTGCATCTTCAGCAGCATTATCCCTCAGTCATGGTTTCTGTTTTCTGGTGATCGTTTAAAATCACTCCTTGGTTTGTTTTCTGAAATGCCACATGGCTGGCGGGGTCTTAGTTCCTCAACCAGGGACTGAACCTGCACCCTCAGCAATGAAAGTAGGGTCTTAACCACCAGGCAGAGAATTCCTCCAAATTACTTCTGTCAACCAGATATGATTCAGCTTCTAAATTTTTAAACTGTATTATAATGGGTGTGATTTTTATGGCTTATCTGTAATGCCATTTGATAGTCTCATTATAAAGTCATATAAATACACTTCTATGTACATGCAAATGTATTTTATGAGCATTTAAACTACATCATATTTTACTGACATCTCTTCAAGAGCATCTTCGTATTGGAAAAAGATTCAGTTTTATGAATCTGTGCTTAAAAATACCCCTTGGAGGGGCAAGAGGAAACCTTTTTGAGGTGATGGATATCTTCATTAGCTTGATTGTGGGGATGGGTTCGCGCATGTATGTATATATCAGAACTTATCAAGCTGTACACTTTAAGTTCAGTTTGTTTTAGGCCAACTCTACTTCAAGAAAGCTGTTAAAAATGTATCCTTTTAATAGTTGATTAGAGTATTGTTAGAACACTGGGGAAAGAAACATTTATTCTTTTCTAATCTTTGTTTCTTTGTGTAGGTTTCCAGACTTGTGAATGAGGTCTATCACATGTATAATCGACATCAGTACCCATTTGTTGTTCTTAATATTTCTGTTGATTCGGGTAAGTTCTGCTGAGGTTTCAATAAAATTGGTAACTTACTCCTGAAAGAATAAAATGAAATTATAAAGCTCAGATATGACTGGAAAATTTTATACAACAGTTAATGGCTATATACATTTTTATAAACTAAAAAAATTTAAAAAGTATTTTATTTTAGACTTTTTTTTATTTTTTATTTTTTTTTAGACTTTTATTTTTTTATACAGGCTTTCCTGCTTTCTACTTGGAACTTTGTTGATTGTGTTATTAGGAAAATGTGATTTTTTCATGTCAGCCAAGGGAGAAAGTTGACTAAATGTTTTTCCTAATTTTGAAAATAATTCATTTCATCTAGGTATTTTTCTTCTGATAGCTGTTATTATGGTTTATTGTTATCCAGTGTTTTTTCTAGATGCTTAGAAATATATATTTGCACACCTTAAAATATATATATACCTAATGGTATGTGTATATATATATCTCCATATTTTTTGGAATGGGAGAATAATTTTGGATAATTTTGTATTGTGCTCTTTAACCTTAGATGTAAACATTTCTTTTCAGAAACACGATTCTAATATTAATAGCTGTATTGTATTTCGTTGTGTGGAAATATCTTGATTTGTGAACTTTTATGTTTGTGCTTATTTTAGTTGTTTTCAGCTTTTGGAAATTTAAATTCTTTTCTTCTAGATAAATCATTATCTATATCTTTGATTGTTTCTTTAAGATAAACTCCTAAAAGTAGAATCATTGGGTCAGTGAATGTGATCCTGTTATACCAGTTTATACATCTATCAACAATGTACTAGGGATTGTAAGTTTTAAGCAGATTCAGTAGGTGATAAAAATGACGTTTTAGTTTGCAATTTTAACCTATCTTTTCATAGGTTTATTTGCTTTTTCTTCTTTTGCAGTTTCCCTACTCAAGTGCTTGCGTAGTTCTTCTGTTTTGCTTAAGGTGGACTTAATCAGCGTCTTTTCTATTTTGCTTTAGAATGTGTCGACATCAACGTTACTCCAGATAAAAGGCAAATTTTACTGCAAGAGGAGAAGCTTTTGTTGGCAGTTTTAAAGACGTCTTTGATAGGAATGTTCGAGAGTGAGGTTAAACTGCAGGTCAGCCAGCAGCCGCTGCCGGCTGTGGAAGGTGAGAAAACACCAGCAGGTAAACGGCTTTCACAGCCTGCAGCTGTCCTGGTACTGACCTCAGCTTTTTTGGAGGTAAAAGTTTTTTTTGGCATGAAAGAAAATCTCCCTTTTTAGACAGAGAAGATGTGTCACCCTAGAAAGCATGTTGCTGCAGATTTTAAGGTAATCTGGATACAAAGAGACACGAGCCGCCTCTTATCACTCAGGGCTCACCCTTTGTCTTTCAGTAAACATGTCCTGATTTTGGCAAGCCTTTTGTTAATTTCCAGAGTTCTGAACAAGTTGATTCTGATAATTTTTGGCATTTTCTCCTATTCCTTATGGAGTAGGGAATTTGGGAGGAGGTTCTTACTTTGCCATTTGCCTTCACATCCCCCGTGTGTTCATTGCTGAGTGGCACATTGACATGAGACTTGGCCTAGAGAGTTTTACAAAGCGGTTATACCAATGTCCCCACCCCAGCAGTATTTAAGCATCCCATTGGATCCTCAACCTTGTAAGCATTTTTTTTTTTAATTTACCTGTTCTGAAGAGTATATAGCTGTATCACATTGTGGTTTTAACTCATGTCTCCTTCCTGGTTCATGTAGTACTGTGTTCATACCTTGAATCAGCCATACAGAGCTTCTCTTGTGCAAAGTGCATGTTCATGTAAAAATATCCCCTTATTCCATTTCTGCATGGGCTCCCCTGGTGGCTCAGTGTTAAAGAATCCACCTGCCCATGCAGGAGACTTGGGTTCAGGGCCTAGGTTGGGAAGATCCCCTGGAGGAGGGCATGGCGACCTAGTCTAGTATTCTTGCCTGGAGAATCCCATGAACAGAGGAGCCTTGTGGGCTACAGTCCATGGGGTTGCAAAAGTCGGACACAACTTAGTGACTAAACAACAATAATTCCATTTCTGCACAGCATCTGATACCCTTCTCTGTTCTCATCTACTTAGGTCACTTAATAAAGAGGCCTTCGGCAGAGATGGAGAAGCCCGAGCCAGAAAAGCAGGATGATCCTGCTCCATTAAGGACTCACGGAGAAGAGAAAAGGGCAGTGACCATTTCTAGGCTGAGAGAGGCCTTTTCCCTTCATCACTCGACTGAGAACAAGTCCCGGGGTCCGAAGGCCACCGATCCGAGGCGGGTTTCTCTGAGGCAGAAAAGCAGTGCCCAGTTCCCTAGAGCTTCGGGGCCCCCCTGCTCCCAGAAGCACATCTCTGAACCTGGGGAGGAAGGGAGGACTTCTGCTCAGGGGCCCCGTGACTTGATGGGCAGAGTGGAGATGGAGGAGGACTCGGGGCACGGCAGTGCATCTGCCAGCTCCGAGGAGGCATCCAGCACCCCTGAGACGAGCGGCACTGAGATGAGCACTGACCGGGTGGCAAGCTCCCCCGAAGACAAGTTTTCCCAAGAAAGTGTGGAGTCTCGGGAAAAGTTACCTGAAACTGACTGTCGTCTTTCAGGCACAAAGTGCCATTTAGACCAAGAAAGCAGCTCTGCATCTAGAGTCTTGCCACAGCCCACGAAGCTCTCATCCCCAAACGCAAAGCGTTTTAAAAAAGAAGGGATTCCTTTAAATCCCGACATCCTTCCAGAGTCGGTGAAAACCCAGAGTGCATCGGCGTCCGAGGTGGATGTAGCTGTGAAAATTAACAAGAAAATAGTGCCCCTTGATTTTTCCATGAGTTCTTTAGCCAAACGAATAAAGCAGTTGTGTCAGCAAGAACAGCAGCGAGAAAGTCAACAGAATTATAGGAAGTTTCGGGCAAAGATTTGCCCTGGAGAAAATCAAGCAGCAGAAGAGGAACTAAGAAAAGAGATCAGGTAACACTTTTCTTTAAAGAACTCTTACCATGCAATTCTGCAACCTGAAACCTTGCAATAATTTTTTTCCTTATATTTCATACAGATTTGGTCCAAATCAATCAAAGCCTTCTTGACCCCAATTTTATTCCTCTTCCTGGAGGTTTTCAGCCCATGGTATCTTCTCCCTGCGTTGAATTCAGGGCACCTTTGGGGAACATTATTGCTATTTTCCATCTTTCCATTTAATGTGTATGAGGGAGAATTACCAAAGCTATGATTTCAAGAAGATGGTATCAGATAAGGTTAAGTAAAACACAGTTTAAAGTAAAATATCTGTAATACAGATAATAATAAAAAACACCAGTCTGCTACTTTCTTGACAATAATCATGTCTAACATTGTGATTCTTAAAAATGATGAATTCTCTTGAAATATTTAATTTTTTAAAAGACATTTGTTTTTGGCCGTGTGGGTCTCCGTTGCTCTGCAGACTCTCTCTCGTGGCAAGCAGGGGCTGCTCTAGTCGAAGTCCGCGGGCTTCCTTCTGTGTGGCTTCTTGTCGCAGAGCATGGGCTCTGGGGTAGGCAGGGTTCAGTGTTGCAGCTCCCAGGCCCTGGAGCACAGACTCAGTTGCTCCAAGGTATGTGCGACCTTCCTGGATCAGGGGTCAAACCTGTGTCTCCGGTACTGCCAGGAGGATTCTTCACCACTGAGCCACTGAGGAAGGCCAAAATATTTAACTTACACTTTTCTTATCATTTGTTTTAAAAATATTTGGATAGAGAAAATTCTAGGGACAGAGGAGCCTGGCCAGCTACAGTTCACGGAGTCGCAAGGAGTCGGACGTGACTGGGCGACTGGGCACACAGCAAGCTGTAGAGCTTTGTTTCTTGAACCTAGATGCTAGGTTCTAGTTCTGGGTCGTGCCGGGAGATACACCTGCCAAAGACACGAAAAGACCAGGATCTTCAGGCTGGCACAGGTTTTTCCTGTAGGGAACCTGCCTGGGGAACCAGAGCCGACTCAGACAGTTCCTGAAAGAGCAGTTAGATCTAAGAAGTTGGTATTTGTGCCATTTATATCAGTTTGTTGCCTCTCAACTCCAAATCCACACTTCGCCCTGCTTTTGCAATCCTGATTGTTGTTGGGTCGCAGTCCTGGAGCCTGGACCGTAGGCGCCTTTCTCTTGGTGCACTGTTAGACATAATCAGCAGGGGGCGCTGGAGGGGCTCTTCAAGGCCAAGTGGGAGCCGCGCCTTCCCCTCTTGCTTTCTGTCATGCCGTCTTTTCCTACAATATCTGAGATGCCCTGGTAAGTGCTTGGAGCATGAAGGATTGATTCCATTTACTTTAAACAATGTACAGACAAAGGTCTGGAAGCATATGCACCGAATCATTAATGATTTAGTCACTAAGTCATGGGGGAGTTAGATGAATGCAGGAGTAAGTGATGTTATCTTTAGACAGTGTGATTATTAGGGACTTTGTGTTTTTGTATTTTTTTGTTTTTAATCAGAGAAAGAAACAGTATTTTATAATCAGAGAAAGAATCTTTTTAAAATGTCTTCTAAAACGGGAATTCTCTAGCAGTCCAGGGGTTAGAACTCAGCCCCGGTTTAATCACTGGTGGGAGAACTAAGATCCCACAAGCTGTGCAGTGTGGCAAAAACAAAAACTTTTCTAACTGACATTTTCTACACACAGCAAAACGATGTTTGCAGAAATGGAAATCATTGGTCAGTTTAACTTGGGGTTTATCATCACCAAGCTGAATGCAGATATCTTCATAGTGGACCAGCATGCCACAGACGAGAAGTACAACTTCGAGGTGCTTCAGCAGCACACTGTTCTCCAGGGTCAAAGGCTTATAGCGTAAGTGCATTTCAGTGCTCAGAATTCAGGGTCATTTCACATCCCAGACTTAGCGTGTAGGTGTGTCTGTCTTTATCTCTGGCTTCCCTGGGGGCTCGGTGGTCCACCTGCCAATGCAGGAGACTTGGGTTTGATCCCCGGTCTGGGACGATCCCCTGGAGGAGGAAATGGCAGCCCACTCCAGTATGCTTGCCTGGAGAACCCCATGGACAGAGGAGGCTGGCAGGCTACAGTCTATGGAGGGAGGTCAGAGAGAGTCAGATACAACTTGGCAAACAGCAAATCTTTTGTCTATTTATCTATGTTTTTTGGTCCTAAATATCCTTAAAGCAGATTTCATACTTTTTGCATAATAAGAGTCATACCTGCCCTTTATGTAGTGCTTATTTTGTGCCAGGCACTGTTGAAAATTTTGCATTTAATCCTCACAAACCTTTGAAATAGTTACTGTGTGTACCACCATCTCATGGGTGATAACACTGGACACACACACACAGGTTAAATCACTTGCCCAAGGTTACGCAGCTGATGGGTTCTTTAACGATCAGACCTTTTTAGCTATTAAAAAATGCCCATCACTGGTTGTCCAGGAAATCCTTTGGATGAAGGACAGTTTATAGCATGTCTATTTAGAGTAGGTGGATCCCCTGGAGAAGGAAATGGCTACCCACTCCAGTATTCTTGCCTGGAAAATCCCACGGACAGAGGGGCCTGCCGGCCTGCAGTCCATGGGGCTGCACAGCTTCGGGCACTACTGAGCGACTAACACTGCACTTCACTTCCTGTGTTCAGAAGGTCAGCAGTGCCTGTGTGTCTGTCCTCAGCTCTGGTAGAGATCCAGTGATCAGTCACTGCAGCATTTGGTATTTCTCTCTTTAGAAACAAATTGAATGTTTTACAGTGACCACTTTACAAGGCAGTGTGGTTATGTAGCATGTAAACCAGAAATCTTAAGTAGAGTCGTAAGGAGAGGTCATGGATCTTCATTCGGGAAATTATGTAATTAGCTCAGATCCCAACAGCAGCAGATCCTGTCATGAGGAAGTCACCGCTGAAACCGTCTCTCAGCTGGAACCCTTACCTAGTTTATTTGCTGAGTACTCTGTTTCCTCTGTCTCCAGCAGAATGGTTTAATTACCTTTATTTCTAGTAGGAGTAGTAAAGACATTGAATGAGCCACTTTAGAATAATGAGTTACTCCTATCCCTCTCACAGAGGCCATTTATTTTTTAGCCATTTTGCATAATTACAGTCTTGTTTGTGGCATTTCAAGTTGACCTGGATAATCCCAGGCCACGGTGGGTTCTCAGTGGACCACACTTCGGGATGAAAGGGTAAAGACCACAGCTGCATCCTTTCCTGCCAGGCCCTGCCTCGCTTGGCCCTGACGAGCTCTTCAGCTGTCCTAAGCCCTCCTCTCCTCTTCTCTACACTTGAGCCACCCTGGCCATCCTTTGTTTTCCCTCAACAGGCCTGATGAATTCCTCCCTGGCCATCAAGCGGAAGGAAGCAGATCTGTGTGTGGCTCTGGGAACATCCCTGGTCCATCCTAAGGCCTTTATACAAACTATTGTCTCTGCCTAGAGCACTTGTTACCCCCATCACCTGATGACTGCTTCTCACCCCCAGATCTCAGCCCAAAGGTCACTTCCTCAGAGAATCCCACTCTCCAGGCCAAGTCTCACGTGCTGTGTGCTCCCAAGTCTCTGAGTGTCTCTTCCTCCTAATTCTCTGTGTAGTTTGTAATTAGAGTTTGTTTGCTTGACTCTTCATCAGTGTCTTTTCTCCCCACTAGACTGTTTGTTCCATGAGAGCAGAGAACGGGTCTGTGTTTGCTCACCTTTATAGCTCCTGTCTTTTAGCCGTCTCTGTAAACCGGTGGAGGGATGGGTGGATCGCTGGAAGGAGAGATGGTTGGATGAAGGATGCAGGCAGGAGAAGGAGCAGGATAGTGGTACAGATGTCATTTCCTCTGTTTTCAAATGTCTATAATGACCGAAGCTGAGTTTTCAAATTCTCTTTATTGTGAGGAGGAAAAATAGCTTTTTTAGGTTATATTGTTATTGTTAAAAAAAAAAAGTCATTGGGGTGGGATGGCAGATTGAGGAAACAAACTACTTTTGGAGTTAACTCTGACTTCTAAGAAGATCTTTAAAAAAAAAAAGTGAAAATTAAAAGGAAATGCTTAGGACTTCTCCAGTGGTCCAGTGGTTAGAACTCTGCACTTCCACTGCCCGGGGCATGGGGTTCAATCCTTTATTGGGGAACTAAGATCCCACATGCCTTGACGTGGCCAGAAAAAAATTATTTTTTTAAAAAAAGAAATGGAGTTTTGTGACAGGTGAGGTTCACAGCTGAAAGCATGTTATTCATGTTTGAATAAATCACAAAATTGTTTTAATTTCATTTCTGTCTTAGAGCCTTCAAGATCTAGTTTGGGTCTTTGTTTTTCAGACCTCAGACTCTCAACCTAACAGCTGTCAATGAAGCAGTTCTAATAGAAAATCTGGAAATATTCAGGAAGAATGGCTTTGACTTTGTTATCGATGAACACGGTAAGTTATTACTTAGAAGGTAGGGTTGCGTCCTCATAGAGCCGAGAAGGATCTCCGAGGCCCTGCACAGTGTGTTTTTTAGAGGTGGACAGGCTTTCCCCCAGAGCGCTTGGCGTCCGCAGTGTCTTTCAGATGTTCCTGACAAGTAGCACCCAAATGAAATGCATTTTTTTTTGAAACGCATTTTTCAAATGATGGCTTTCCCCTGCATTGTCTTCTTTCAGCGCCAGTTACTGAAAGAGCCAAGCTGATTTCCTTGCCAACCAGTAAGAACTGGACCTTTGGACCCCAGGACATAGATGAGCTGCTCTTCATGCTGAGCGACAGCCCTGGGGTCATGTGCCGGCCCTCCCGCGTCCGGCAGATGTTCGCCTCCAGAGCCTGTCGCAAGTCTGTAAGTCAGGAGCAAGTCTGTAAGTCAGGAGCAAGCCTGTAAGTCAGGAGCGCTCACCCGCAGGGTCCCCAGGGGCCTGCTCCAGAGAGTCCTCAGTTCAGCCCCGCGCAGCCCCGTTAAGTGTGGGCCGTGTACCTCGAGGGTCCCGCTGTCCTCAGCCAGCGTAAGCCTGAGCCCTGCACGGCCGCTCTGACCCACGGTTACTGCGTCCCCGAGGCGGCGTCCTCCCGGCACCTGCAGCGGTCCCACGCAGTCCGCCGTTTGTCCCCGTTGTTTGTCTGTGGGCCTGATGGGTATTAATGATCCTGGTGGAAAAGGAGTAGGTGCTGCCAGTTCTCGACCCCGTGGGAGGTTGTCCGGAAGCCCGGCGGTCAGCCGGCGTTTTGCAGGGACCTCCAGGGCGGGCAGTATGTGTTTTCTGGCTGCCGTCCCCCGACGCTGGCGGGGCCCTGGTGCTGTCCCCACACAGCGCGCAGACTGGGGGCTGTCTCCTCTGCACCCAGGGGCCCATGTCCTGCCCTTGGCTCTCGACATGCCAGCCACACCATCTCCTTCCTGCCGCAAGCCCTCTGCCTGGATGCCCTGTTCCACACGCCTTGCTCACCCGCCCGGTTCCCTCCGGCCCTCCCTGAGCACCCAACTGAAGTAGCCTACCCACAGCTCTGCAGGGGACAGGCGGGCGTGCTGTTCCACTGAGGCAGGCAGGGACGTTCGAGCGGCAGCCTGAGGGAGAGGGGCCCTGAGACAGAGGGGCCCTGAGACACGCAAACACCTGGAGGAAGCGTGTGCCGGGGAGAGGGCGCGGCCAGTGCCGAAAGCCTGAGGCAGGTACTTGCTTCACGGGCTTGTGCAGGAGACCAGGGGGTGTCTGTGAGGCTGGAGTCGGGCAGGGAAGGCTGCTTGCTTGCAGATGTGGGTGCGAAGGCTGGTGAGCGCCACGTCACGTGGAGCACTTGGTCCTTTATACAGGTTGGGGCTGGCTGCGGGTTTTTTGTGTTTGGGTTGCTCCAGGTCTTCGTTGCTGTGTGCGGGCTCTCTGGCTGCAGAGAGCAGGGGCTCCTCGTTGCAGTGGCTTCCCCTGTCGTGGCGCACGGCTGTCGGTGCCCGGGCTTCAGCACCTGCAGCACGCCAGCTCCGTGGTTTCGGCTCGCTGGCTCTGGGCGCACAGGCTTCAGTAGCTGTGGCTCCTGGGCTCTAGAGCACGGCCCACTCGTGGCGTAGGGGCTTAGGGGCCCTGTGGTATGTGGGATCTTCCTTGTCCAGGGATCGCACCCATGGCTCCTGCTTTGGCAGACGGACTCCTGTCCACTGCACCACGGGGGAGGCTCCTGACAGACTTTTAAGAGGAATCGCCGGCCCTGAGTGGAGGATGGGTTGAAGAGATGACGGGGTTGGGGGAGCAGGGAGGCCACTGCGATTGCCAAGGTGTAAAGTCACGGAGATGGGGTTGTAGGTGCTGGTGGAGCTGGCGAGACTGGTTGGTCCTGGATGGGAGTGGGCCATGGCCCTCTCAAGGATGTGCCACCATGAGGGAGCCATGGAGGGGCTGGATTTCACAAAGGGGCCCGAGGGCTGGGGCCCTAGAAGGCGAGGTTGTTCCAGACAGGACTTTGCAGGGAACGCAAGACAAAGTCTTGTCCAGCCTCTCTGTAGAGAACACTGCTTCTGAAGAACGGCTGTGCTGTGCTTAGTCGCTCAGTTGTGTCTGACTCTTTGTGATCCCATGGACTGTATGTAGCCCGCCAGGCTCCTCTGCCCATGTGGGATTCTCCAGCAAGAATGCTGGAGTGGGTTGCCATGCCCTTCTCCAGGGGATCTTCCCCACCCAGGGATCGAACCCAGGTCTCCCACATGGCAGGCAGATTCTTTACCGTCTGAGCTGCTAGGGAAGTCTGAAGTGTAGCTGTTATAACCCAAACTAGTAAAGCTTTAAGTGAAGCCATCATGTCTCACATGCAGGTGATGATTGGAACCCCTCTTAACACAAGCGAGATGAAGAAACTCATCATGCACATGGGGGAGATGGACCATCCCTGGAACTGTCCCCACGGAAGGCCCACCATGAGACACATTGCCAACCTGGATGTCATTTCTCAGAGCTGATGTCGCTCCTCGTTTTATAGAGCTGTTGATCGTATTGCAGGTTTTTCTGTTTTGCAAGGCAGGGCTTTAATGAACCGTTTGAGGGGTGTGTTTCTAAATGCAACTGCTACTTCCAAAAGTATCAGATCCATTTAGAAATGATCTTGTGGACTTTTTTGATCCATGTGGAGCACTGCTTGCAACACTTTTTTTGTTTTGCATTTAAACGCGTGCCTGTGTGTATATAGAGGCAAGAGTATATTTTACAGAAATAGAGCACTTTAGAAGTCACTCGACCTCTGCTGTGGGCTGACATATTTTGGTCTGTAACTTTCATCCCTTAGTGATGACTAAGTCCCTAATGGTTTCACTTCATTAAGTTAACATTTACAGTTCTTTGGAGCTAGTCATTCTGAACCCTGATGCATGTTAAATTTAGAAAAGAATCCTAGAAAACCCAAGGGGGTTTCTCTGTCCAGCTGGAAGAAGTCAAGCAGGTGGATTGGGGTCTCTTCTGTCTCTTTCTCTGTCGTTGTAATTTTTGTTTTGTTTTCGGCAGTGTCGCAAGGTTTTCGGGGATTGAACCTGGACCACTGTGGTGAAAGCCCAGGACCCTAACCACTGAGCCGACAGGAGCGCCTGGATCTCACCTTTTAAATGTTCCCTGCTGCAGCCAGAAGGGCAAAGACTGTTGTGCATGCTCAGGCGCTCAGTTGTGTCGACTCTTTGCGACCCCATGGACTGTGGCCTGCCGGGCTCCCCTGTCCTTGGAATTTTCTAGGCAAGGATCCTGGAGTGGGTTGCCATATCATTCTCCAGGAGATCTTCCCGACCCAAGGATCGAACTCAAGTCTTCTGCGTCTCCTGCTTGGCAGGTGGATTCTTTACCACTCAGACACCTGGGAAGCCCAAAGACTGTTGTAGGCAAGGGAAAATAAAAGATTCTGATTTTTCTGTACCTTTGATGCTGTGATTTGATTTCCTTGGAGTGTGGACTGCAAGATGGTTAGTTACTGACTGTACTGGAAGGAGAATCCCTAGTCTGTTGTTAGTTTTTCATAGAATCTCATCCCATTTGAACTCTGCCCGAAATGGAAGTGAGCATGCCCTCTGCAGGGTGCAAATGGCGGTTGGTGGATGATAGCCAGTGTGGACCCCCCACCCTAACCCCGCTCTCCACCTTTCTGCCCAGACAGTGGGCTTCCTTCCGTTTACAGACTTAGAAGTCCTTAGGTGTGAGGAGACAGTCAAATAATAATTATTGTCACTCATGTAAGCGCTACGCTGGTGGACCTGAAAGGTCTCATTTAATATTTGTAAGAATTCTGCAAACTGGGGTTAGAGAGGGAGGGAGGCCTTCCCCAGAGGCCCCCTGTGCTAATCCCAGAACCCCTGAATACTTGCTCTAGGTGGCCAAAGGGGCTCTGCAAGTTTAAGGGTGGTATGGGGGGGCGGGGCGTGCCCTGGGTTGGTTCTGTGGCCCAGTCTAGCCCCTGTCTTCTTAAAAATGGAGAGCTTTCCCCAGCTGTGCCAGAGAGACAATGATGCTGACTTCGAAGATGGAGGAAGGTGGCTTCTAGAAACCTGAAGATTGTCCCTGGAGCTGCCAAAGGAACCTGTTCCTTTTGGACTTCTCCCGAAACTGTGAGAGGATAAATCTGTGCTGCTTTAAGCCAGTAAGTCGGGGGTAACTTGTTTATGGCAGTAATGAAAAAGTGACACCTGAGTTCCTGAGTTAGTCTAGTGTTAAGGCGTAGATAGAGCCTGAGAGAGGCCGCGGGGCAATTAGCAGAGGAGGGGAAACCCAGGTCAGTTGGGTTCCAGATTGCTACCTGCTCTGAAGGGCAAAACATGTGCCGCGGCCCCTTTAAGATCGGGGCAGGGCGGGGCCCGCGGTTGCCGGGAGACCGTTAAGGTCAGGACGCCGTGCTGCCTCCTTCCCGGCCGGATCCTTTGGGTCTCCACCAAAGTGAGTGCCTCCGGGGGTCCCGGGGTCCCAGGCGTGCGGCCCTGTCTGCGCCGCGGCTGGCTGGCGTGACGGCCAGCTCCGGCTCTTCCTCGGCCTCCGAGGACCCGAGCAGGTGCGCGGTGGGCGGGGAGGGCGGAGGAAGGCACAGGACCGAGCTGGGAGCCTGGGCCCAGAGAATGCCTGCCCCTCTCGAGCTAAGGAAAGTAAACGGTCCGTAATACACCCTCAACTCAAGGAGAGCAGCCGATACACAAAAGTTGGTAAGAAACAGGCCACGAGAAAGGAAGTTTGCTTTATGAGTAGTTCAGACTTTGGTGATGGAGGAGCGGAAAGCCTGTAGTAAAGACGAGTTTAGAAGCCTCAGCGGCTTGCTTCGCTGACAGTCCTGAGGTGGGGTTGCAGGGCTGGAAAGACTGATGGGGTTTTGAAGGAAGAGGGGACCAGGACCGTGTTGGTGAGGGCAGAGCCTGGGGGGTGGGAGGGGAGTGCGCGGAAACCAGGCGGCCAGAGGGCGTGGGGGTGGCCACTGCCCCCGTCAGGCACAGGAACAGGGGTCTTGCCTTGCCGTTCTGGACTCACCTCTGCCTCCTGCTTGATGTACTGGGATGCCTTCAGTGGGGCCAGTTTGGGGGGCCACGAATACTATGGTTTTGGAGCCCCACCCCTCAGCTCTGGGGCCTTGGGCAAATGATTAACACAAGGTTTCTTGTCTGACATAGGAGGCCTCAATCTATTGTCATGCTGTCCCAGGGAGTAGGTAGCCGATGGCTTCAAGTTTGAAAATAGGACAGTGACAGAATAGTTGATTTTGTGCATCATCTCATTTAATCCTTATAAGCAGACAAGTTACTATTATTCCTGTTTGACATCTGAAGCAGGACAGTTGGGAACGGGACAATGCAGAAGCCTGGGTTCAGCTCCTGAGCACTTTGCCAGGGGGACATACAGAGATGGGCTCTTACAGTATGAACTGGTGGTAGGTAAGATTTTAGAGGTTAGGTTGATATGTTTTCCCACAAAGGGTTGCCCTTCTTACTGGAACACTATTTGGAAAGAAATGATAGATGGTGGTTCCAATTTAAAAAATCTTAAGACAATGCAATATTGAAATTATTTTATAACCTGGTGATACTTGATCCTTGTAATTAATTTTTCAGGCTGTAGGAAGAGAATGATAATGACATCGGGGTTGTAAAACTAAAATTGTAGTGACTTTCTTGGTCCAGTGATGAGGACTCTGTGCTCCCAATGCCAGGGGCTCAGGTTCCATCCCTGGTTGGGGAAATGGATCCCATATGCCACAACTAAGACCTGACTCAGCCAAATACATAAATATAAATAACTTTTTAAAAAGGCTAAAATTGTAGCTATGAGTGAAACCCTCAAGTATTCAGAGACCTAATTTTTATTTTTCAGATAAAACTCCCCAACGCCTTGCAACGCACAGCTTTCAACTGAAGGAGTCATTGGATACTTATCTAAATAAAGTGAACCTTAGGTCTTCTAAAGGCCATGGTGAAAGAAAAGAAAAAAGCGGATAAAAAGGGGGACAAGTCTGCCCGTTCTCCCTCGTCTCCCTCCGATTATCCAGAGTTTGCCAAACAAGATGGCAACGCCGCAAGGCAAGACACGTCTCCGAGTGCCGCGCCGCCACTGGACGTGCAGCTCAAGGACCCGAGAGTCAAGAGAGAGGTCAAAAGCGACAGTCTGCCGAATGAAGATACCACCCAGTATGAAGAGCCCGTTCTGACCAAACTCATAGTAGAAAGGTGATTTTTCCTTTCTTTTAAATATTTATTTATTTACTTGTTTGGCTATGTGCGATTTTTGTTGCAGCATGTGAGATCTTAGTTGTGGCAAGTGGGGTCTAGTTCCCTGACTAGGGGCTGAACCCAGGGACCCTGCACTGGGAGCCTGTATGGAGTCTTAGCCACTGGACTACCAGGGGAGTCTTGACTTGTCTTTTTTCTTGAAAGGTGATTTAATGAGCTGCCTCTTCCACATTCCCTTGTCTCCGACTTCCATGCTGTCTGTTCTTTGTCTGTGGATGATCTTTTATTATAGCTTTACTTCCATCTCCCTAGATGACTGCAAACATCTATGCCTTTAGCACCGTTTTGTCTCCGCAAGTTCTTGGTTCAAGTTTTTAATGCCCTACTAGACATCGTCCACTGGACCTGCATCCCAAAGCAAAGACTGCAGGACTTGAAATACCGCAATCAATCAGGACTTGAGTCTTAGCTCTAGGATGTCAGCCCCATCGCTGATCCTTTCTGAGCCTCAGGTTCTTAATGGGGGGAGATAAATGAGAATATGAACCTTAGAAGGTTTCTCTGGATGCTGCTGTTTCTCTCCCAGCTGGAGGTTCATCCCTTTGTCCCTGTTTCTCTTAGGGCATCACCATTTCCCTACATCCAGGCCTGAAGTCGTGGAACTAATCTCCTCATCATAGGTTTTCTGATATTTACTTGTCTCTGGATTCTTGGAATATGCCCACTGTGGTCATGGCTGTCACAGGTCCATTTGTTTTCCACCTCACTCACCTCAGAGCCTGGAGGTGAGCAAGGTGATAATAACATCACACGTTATCAGTTTGGAACTAAAAATCTGGGCACTGTTCTTGGCACCTCCCTTGCCCAAAGCCAGCATGTCAGCAAACCCAATTGGTTCTACATCCAGAATATATCTTAAAAAAAAAAAAGTTTTAAAATTATCATGGTGATATATACATATTTTAAATCCTTTTACATGTAAATCAGAGGCATTAACTACACTCTCCACGTTATGCAGCCATCCCCACTGTCCATTTCCAGAATGTTTTCACACCCCAGATGGAAAACTGTCCGGAATATTCCAAACGCTTTCATCTCTCTCCTCGCCCACTGCTCCCTCCTGGCAGCTCACTCTCCCCTCCAGTCTGTTCTCTGAAGCAGCCAGAGTGATCTTTTTAAGATGGAAATCTGGTCCTGTCCAACCCAGTTCTGAAAACCCTCTCATGATTCCTTCTAGAGCTTTGTACTTGATGGCGAGTCTTTATCTCAGCCCACACGCC